TGCAGGAACACGGAAGAATCCACAACCCAGGGCCTCCTACCCGCTTTCCCATGTCAAATTCATTCGTTGTTAAAGCATGCATTCATGTCGCATCTTGAAGCAGCATAACACTCTTTCAAAATTAGCGCCATAGAATTTCGTTTCATCTTTCATTTCTCTTCTTCTGTACCGAGTCGCCAGCAGGACACTGCGATTCCCAATATATTCATCACCTGCCGCGACATACTCGGAGATTTTTTACTAGATTTACCGTTTCTCTTTCCATTTCTTCAACTTTTGCATAGCATCGGCGTCAAATAAAAGGGGAGGATGGTACTCAAACACTACAGGCAGATTCATTAGTCAGGTTATACGTCTAGCTTCGGGATAGGGTTAGGTGCATAACGCACTAAAAGTCTACAAGAATGATAGACGATAACATTTCAATGCATCAGCATATTGGCTATCCTTCCTAAAACGTCTATTCTGACATGGTCTGATACTAAAAACGTTCGGTCCACAGCTACCAGACTTGGTAACACCGGGGCAAGTCTACATGAAACAGCTCAACAGTCTCGCAATCTGCGGAAGTCGAAACAACGGATCAATTGGAATCATGGTGCGTATCTCTAGATCCGAGCGGTATCATCTCTTGACCGTTTGGGACATGCGAGTCGAGATGCATGGGTTGGCAGAGGTAAATCTAGCGATGCCAAGGATGATAACAACAAGCATTGGAGTTTAAAGACATGGTTACTTGACGGTCGTCAACTATGAAGCACTTCTTGTCTACCCTAAGCCTTCCCTTGGTATATTTGCACGGTTGGGGGAAAGCTCTGAGTCGAGAGAGTTTGATGTTGATCCACATGAGTAGTGCTTGCGACATACCCCAGAATTTCAGTCTCCGTGGATCTCAGATATAATGCATGATGTACGCTCTAGAGCGTATATGCATATATCACCGTGTTAAGAGAGAATGGACGACCTTCTTTGGAGCCCCGTCAACTGACCAGGGTGATTCCGTGGTTCCCCGGCACCATCTCTGATTCAGAGCCGCACCTGGACCCTGTAATTTGTGTCTTCATTCAGAGACTGCTGCTCGGCTTTTCTTTCTCCTTGAGAGAGCGTACCCTGGCTATTGCTGCATCCAAGCCTTGCTTGCTCTTTTCAAAGTAGACATGGGAGAAGTCGCTGCTGGCCTGGCCGCTGATTGTACGGGCCTGGATACCATGCGCGATGGTGCTGCCCTGGTAAATCTGTTAGATTTTGATAAAGAGTATCTTTTTTTGGAACCGCAGGACCGAATAAATACTTACTCTCATCAAATGGAAGATTTTTGCAATCTCCCATTGGTCTTGTCTAGGATTCCATCCTGTGATCTTGGTGTACTCATCTAACAGCTCGTCCATATTTGGCATCCCACTTTCCCTCTGGTTTTCTGAGTCATACACCTCTCCACCCTGGTCATCTCTTGCTTCAGCCCTGGAGTCTCCAGCGACGCCATGGGAGCTTGCACGATTCCAGTAGGGTCCTGTAACGTATACAACATCTAGAAGAGGATGGCCGATTGTGCTAAGCTCCCAGTCCAAGATGGCAATGACCCGAGGTTCTGTCGGATGCAAGATGATATTGTCAAACTTGTAATCTCCGTGAATGATGCTAGTGCGATCACTGGGCACATGTTTGCGAATGTAATCCACGATTTCGTCAAAATCCGGATGCGCACGACCCAGTTCTTTACCAGTCTTTATGTCCTTGACTTTTGCTTGTTGGGCTTCGATTCGGGAGAAGGTATTGCAATGCCGAGTGTAAAAATTGGTCTTTCTGCCAAAGTCATGTAGGCCAATGGAGTCAGGATCAATTGAGTGTAGCCAGGCTAACGTCGAGACAACCGATGACCAGGCTGCACGACGATCCTTTGGCTCGAGGGTGGAAAGATTTGGATCGGTGATTATTCGTCCCTCGACATATTCCATCATCTACTTCGCCGTTAGTGGGCTGCTACAGGCTGTTGTCAGGCTATAGAATCCTACATAGAAAGCGGTTCCGATAATCTTAGGATCCATACACAGGCAGTACACTTTCGGTACCGGAAACCCTTCAATAGTACCCAGTGCCTGGAGAACTTTATATTCCCGATCCACTTGATGCGCCACAGGCGATATTATCGTCCCGCTTGGTTTACGCCTCAGAATGTATCGAGTTTTCCCTGCATCGTCGATAAAGTAAGTCGGATTACTTTGGCCATATCCAATCTTTGTTGACACGATTGGAAGCTTAACACCGGTTATGTTTCGTTGGAGGTACTTGCCGAGCGCCTCATCGTCAAGATCGTGCCGTGACTTCTCCTTCACAACTCTGGCCATGATTGATCGCTTTCCCTTGCGGTTTTCCTGAGAACAAGTCCAAGGGATCTCGAACGCAGATGCCAGTTACTTTGTGCTCGGCTTGCATAGCAATTCATAAAGATACCCGAGTAAGCTGCACCGAGTCGCTAGAGATGCATCTCCAAGCGGTTAGTGCAGCGGGGTCAAGGTGAACTACAACTCGCATTGGACACTCGCCTTTACAGTCGCTTGGGCAAAACATTCCTCATCTTTACAACTCAAATATAAGTCTTACTTGTAAAGATAAAGATCAAACAGAGCTCTCTATAACACTAATTGTTACTCTGGGTTTTGTCGTAAGCTACCAGTACCGTGTGCAATTTCCTTGTTGATAATTTTGTTTGCCTAGGAAAGGGTGGGTAAATCGCCTCTAATAAAGCACATCCATTACCCTTTCACCACGATCTTCCGTAGTTTCTACATAGCATGCCTTTATACTCGAGAAGAAGCAAGCAGATTGCCTTTCCAGATCATCGGTTCTTGCGTTTTAGCTCCCAAAATTCTATGTTAGGCCTAGCAAAAGTAGTCTGTCGGGTAAACATGCAAAGTAATCCGCATGCTTATGGCTAAAGTGCCAGTCGTTGCTGACATGTAGTGTTCCTGATGATGCTTGACACGTGTAGATATGGTAGAGAAGCTATGCGCGCTTAGACCGACATGGGTATGTGTAATATCTGGAGAAACTTGTGTGCCAGGTGGTGAAGTTTGAAAAACAGGCGTTTTTGAAATCGGTGTCGCGAGGATGACCACCGTATGGTAGTAGGTACCGGTACATGTAGCTATTTACGGTATTTGTACTTCACAGTCGTCCGAATACAGAGGATACGAAACAGCCACGTTGCCCAGTCAGAGCCTCGAACCCCACGTCCAACCTGCCCTTAGTCCAGACCCTATGATTGACAATCCACAATCTGGCAACAAGTCCCAGTCTTCTCTCCACACCCACACACGCCCTCAACTTCCGCTTTGTCACACTCAGCCCAGATGCGCCTTCGCCGATTACCCACATCACACACTAAGATCTGACATACATTTCATGACGAGCACGCCGTGGGAACCACGCCAATCGCTCCGCTGAATCGACCCGACGGAGCATTACTACCGGTACGTTAGTCGTAAATTACTATACTCTGGTAAATAAGTCAGACCACTGTTCTGAAACATGCAAATGGCGCTGCAGGCGTGCGCGAGCCACGGACCCGACTACCGAATGGGATAGCGGTATAGGCATGGGGGACCTGGTATGCCAACACTTACCTCGCGGTCATGTCCCCATGCAATTGTACACACGTGAGCAGTTGTGTGGCCTCTTGCGACCCTACAGTCTGCCAAGTTGACGCTGACTCAGAGTGAGGACTTTCCTTGCCATTTTGTATGATTTGACCTATGAAATGAAAATGGGCAGTTTTCCGCGATTGTCTACCGATTGTAAAGTCTTGTGTGTAATACCGTGAGCCTTGCCTGGCTACGGTGATTAGGATGTGTGGCCATGTAGTAAGCCGACTTTGAGAATGTGGATATATTGACGGTGTGGTCATCGTGTCTAGTAATGGCCTCCGCCCTGAAACAGGCTCTTGTGAAAGGAGCGAAGATCCTAAAAAATGAAGAGAAATGGTATCTATGCCGTACCCAAAGGAGATGGTACAAAAGTCGCCTCGCTAGCAGAATGAGTGATGGAACATTATTCGCAGGGTCCTTCAATCTCTGCCATGAGACATTACTCCATAGCCGTGAAGAGGCAAACCTGCCTCGACATTTGACTGGCTAGCAGTATTTCTCGAAAGACCTGATCCATTCCACCTTTAAAGTGAATCGTGTAGCTGTCCACTTTGCCCTTCCGTCTCTTCTCGCCCCAGACCAGCTTGATCATCTTTGCGTCATCACATCTCTTGCCTGTCCTACTTCCTGGCTTTGCCCAGTGATTTGTGTATTCGTATAGTGTCTCTGGCATGGCATCGTCATGTGGGTCTCCTTGCTTCCATACAAACCGCCGACCACCGTACGTGAACCGGCGTGGTGACCACGGAATCTTCTGCTGGCGATCGGGATACTCTTTGATGTCTTGGGAGAAAGGGCCGCGAATGTGGATGCATCGCGATTTGTATGCCGCATCCTTTGGTGAAGAGTGGGAGATGCGCTGCTTGTCGATGCCTGAAAGTAAAATGGAAATGCAAGGCTGGGGATATTCCGCGACCCGAAAGAAGTCTGCAGCATTGACTTGGCTGTCGTCTCTGTGCATAGCTTCGAGCATGTACAAAGCGTACTTGTCAGAATAATCCCTGGCTGAGTAGACGTATTTCCTGAAGCCCGAGGAGCCAGGAGGAGTCCACTCTCGTGTACGGTGGAGATGGTATGTGGTTGTGGGTTGAGAAGAGTCGAGTAGTGAGTGGTAAGGGATATCGGGCGAGGGGAGTTCGTCAAGATCGTAGAGGGGCGCATGAGATACTGGTGAGTATGTTTTCTGCCAAGTGAGAAGATTGTGAATCTATGTGAGTCAGCACACCACCCTAGACATGAAGACGAAGAGAATACCTACTGCTGACAAGCTCGCGCTCTCTTCATCCAAATCGCCATTTGCACCCCATTGGTTGGGTGCAGGAACGAAAACACACTCGTTTCCTTCTTCATCTATCCGATCGCTTCCACTCTCCAGGTGTGGTCGCAATGCCCTCTGTCTCTCTCTGTGAATCGTAATCTGCGTTTTGAGGATTCGGATCTGTTCATCCGAGTTGTCATCAGGCGATATGCTGGCATGTGATTGCTCGATCTCCCGCTCCAGTGCCAGAGCTGCCGCTTCATGCTGCAAGTAGGATGTGTCGTAAAGCCAAGCATGTTCGGATTCGAAGGCTGAGCTTCGCAACAGCTCAAGGTGGTCCTGTGTTCTGTATCCTGCTCTATTCATGGTGGGCTGTGGGGTATTGGTTATTTCACTGCAATGACGGCCAAAACTTGGGAGCGACAGAGATGGTCAGAGTCTTTGAGGACATCCAAACGGCGGACACGGGATATTTCAGTCGTAGTCACATTAAAGAAGAGGAGTGATGCCTTGGAGGAATGAGCGACAGCGGGCTGAAAAGCATAGGAACCAACCACTAGGCTGGGGCCAGCTGATGAACCACTCCAAGAAATCTTGGAAGGAGAGAACCCGTGCCTAGGGCGCGCTGGCTCCCCGTCGTGCCCGCAGCCCCTGTCATACCGATGTTTGCTTCGTGCTGCATGAAAGGAACGGGGGGCCAAGTGCGGTGAAAGGCATGGGGTTGCAGCTGAGGCGCTAGCTAGTTGCGGCATGCGCAGCAGTAGAATGGAAAGCCAAGAAGGGAAGTATTGAGGACAGGTGCGGAGGATTCAAGTGCCATACGGCATTCTAGGCCACTGGCCATTGCATCCTCTTGATCCCTCAAGCACACGGCGACACCAGAGGCTCCTCTTTCTTGCGCATTTGAATAGCAGCATAGTGGTTGTGTGGATGGATCGTGGTGGTGCGCCTGGAGTGACACCTACCCAATGTCAGATACCATACCTAGCTATTGGCATTCCGCCCTTTCGCGCGCTCGATGATGGCTTGCATAAGCTGGGAGTGGGCTTGCCCAGAGTGTGAGACCACACCTGGCAACTTGCACATGACAAGTCTCACCGTCCCTATAGCAGCGAATCTGGGCGCTTCAGCAGCCATCGGACTCCGAACAGGCGGTCTGCTCCAGTTTCCTCACCCACTCACGACGCTTGCAATGTACAGTGATGCGCAGTGCCCTTGCCATAAGATCCTGTTAACGTCCTTCGAGAAGGTTTGGAAGCCTCTGGACGCAGACTAACCGCGCCCAGCTCATTCCTTCACGCAGAAGCCAACATGGCGTCGTCATGTTTGTGACGCTTAGAGACGCGTCCAAGGGTGGGCCAGCCTGGCCAGCAATGCGTCTCAGGCTGAGTTAGTGGCTTCTGTACACACTGCCTCTACCCCACACGCATATCAGGTGGATGCAGCCCCTCCGACCCCTACCATGCAAAAGCAAGAAAAGCAGGGTGCTCTGTGTTTGTTGGACTTCTGTTTGCATTGTTGTTGACATTGTCGTTGTGAATTTGGGCCTTCCTACTCGTGAACACAACCAGCGATCTTTGCTTCTATTGACATGGTTTAGGGCTGAACCGAATGCGGGCCGGATCGACTTCCGTCTACGGGTAGTGGATAAGTTACGTAGCGTCTTGGGACAGCATGTGTTGTATGAACTGATCGGGGCTGGTGCAGATGATGGTTCTACATAGGTAATACATGGAGGAGGACCTCCCAAAACCAAACCGAGTCAACCCAGGGGTACGCTTAGTTTTTTTCTCTCTTCACCTTCAGTGCACGACCAGCGGCATCCTACGGGCTTATTGACAAAAGTTGGAGTGAAGACAAGTCCCCACAACAGGCCTTTCTGTGTTAGTCAGGTCCATATGCATCGGCATGGTCCTCATGTCGTCGAAGGCGATAGAATGCTGATACGGTGTACATACGCTAACCCTCCATGAGACCATTGTGTTATTCTCCTTACCACAACTTCTGGTCAGGAGTTCTCGAACACGATGGAGGAAAGCTGGCCTCAATAACTATCTCGTCATACTAAACCATGCAGCCTTTGTACTCGCATTACGTTTGATCGTACAACTTAAGCTACTTGAGTGCATGACAACTACGCGCGCCCTCAAGACGCTTTCGTAATAGTAGGGCATCAATAGACCATGACGATTCATTGACAGTTCCTATCAACATGGGCTATTGCCGCTGACTTGCCGTCTCTATGATTGTAATGCCTACAGGGGAGATAGCGCGCGCAGGCCACTTGGTCGCCGAATTGTGGAAGGGTGTCACCAGCTCTAGTACTGTGCCACTTTCGTTTGCTACACAACTTGTTCTAGAGGGGCTATCCTATTCCTTTTATCAAGTCGTAATGCAAGGTACGCAGAAGCACGTTGGGACTATAGCAGAACCGTACATGTTTGAGTAATATGATGACTGTCTTTAATACTATTCAGTGTACGCGTGGCCAGCATGGTCAGGATTCGAGCTGCATCTATACAGCCCGTGTTTGACTGATCAAAACGTCGGGTCGCTCTCATCAATGGGGACCAGACTTCCCTTCCCTTTGAAGACCTCGATAACGTGGGCCTGCTCGGACAGCATGAACCGACTGGTCTGCGTGCCCACTTCCGCCAGCTTCCTCCATCGCCCCAAATCCTCTTTCTTCCTCTTATCGCCCAGCGCTTCTTTCGCCCTCTTCCAGTGCCCCTCAGAGAACGCGATCAGGGTCGTCATCTTCTTGTTTGGGATATCGTAAACTGCGGACACAATTGATCCCGTCTCTTCGAGCCAATTGATTTGCCATAGTTCGCCGGGACGTATACATTGGTATGTTGCTCGTTGGTAGTTGATGCGGCCCGCCATGGGACCGCCGTGAATCGCATAGACGACGCGATCATCGGAGAAACACCATAATTCATATCGCCATTTCTCGGGATTGCCTTCACTGTCCTGGGCATCGTAATCATAGACTGGGTAGATCATGAGCGTTGGACGGTAACTAGGTTGTTGATTATATCCTACTCAGGTGAGTGTCTCGGATGTCTTTGTCAAAAGAGGCATCGAGTTTAGTGTTGGTGAGAAAGTCTGGAAGATTTTCGCCAGGAGCCATGGTATTTGATTGTGCTTTGGTGTATGAATGATGATGTCGAAGGTTGTATTGAAGTAAATGAATCTTATGGAGCAACTAAAAGAAAGATCATGACATGCGTACTCGTGTGCGGCGCTACCGGATACTATGACGTATCGACAGAAGATGAGGTCTATAGCCTTTTCGATCTAATCACCAAGTCTCAACAGTTCAAAAATGGAACTTTGAGCTACTGTTTTCCGGCGAAGCTCTCGGCAATTGAGCCTCACCGAAGACCGTACGACAATTGCAGGACATCTCGTGAGCCTCGTCACCTTAGATGGCCATAACGTGATGTATCAGGAGAGAACATAGAAATTTTGTTGTGGGTTTTCAAGTCATTTTCACTTTGAAATCCATGACGTCGTACCATGTTTCCCAATTGATCGGCCAGAGACTGCGAAATGATGAGTGGATACACACACGCTGGAAGTTGTTGCTTCCAGGAGATGACTTAGCGCCTCACTAGTTGCGGTTGATCTTCGGGATTCGCAGCCTCCTTCTTCCGAAAACCTTCAACTTTTCTTTAGCTGCACCAGCTTTCCGCGACATCATGACGGACAACGCTCTGCCATAGAGATTGTGATGTCGTCACACTATTATAGCTCTAGGAGCTCTGCAAAGTATACTGGATGAATGCTCAGAAATTTATCTCAGAGAACAGACACCGCCCGGGCCTCTCTTCGCACTGTACGTACAAGCTTTTCTTCAGGCAGGATTTCACTGCGCACATGCTCAAAGATGACAATTACATCGACCATTACATCTTTAGGAAGAGCCGGAAAAGGTATGGCTAGCATCGACATATGCTATGCCGTCGCTGCTTATAAACTGGTCTCTGAAGAGCTTTGCCTTCATCGCACAATTTACGTGTCTTTTTGGGGCTTCGGCTAACAATGAACATCACAGGATCGTTATGTAAACCTGCCAGCTCGCGCAACCTTCGCGCATTCACAATACGGGCGAAAGCGTTCTCCGAGAAGGCGCGGCCCTTTGAAAGATAGACACGATGGACTGTGATATCGAAATAGCTCCGCCTGCGAACAATCTTATTCGGTGCTTATGCTAAAATATAGAGCATATTGATCCACGGATCATGTCAAGCATATTCTTGTCGCTCTTCTCTGGCTACATTGGGATAATTCTTGAGATGTTATCGCAATTGAGCAGAGCAGCTGCGTCCATTTCAAAGGTGGACACAGTTGCTGTCGACTTGTGGTCGTAGAGCATGGTAGGGTTTTGCAGTGTTGCAAGAGGATCTACTTGCCAATCACCCACGGACGCGCAGATTGGTAAGGTGTCGTTCATCATGTGAAATTCTGTAAACCAGGCTTGGTCGGCATCGTTCACATAGCTCTCAGCACCTGTCTCTAGGGCAGGATTTGACTGCCCTGCAAAACATGCATGTGTCGTTTCTCCGTCTGAGTCGACTCCATAATCTATCATATCATCGAATTCAAATATGCTGGAGCCACACACTGGCATGCTGCTCTCTATCGGTGTCGGCAATACCGGGGTTGTACTAGAGCTGCTGCGGCGAGATTGTTTGTATGTTGCGTATTCTTTGGGCGTGAAACCAGTCTTGTCTTTGAAGATCTTGTGGAAGTAGCGTGGAGTGAGGCCCACCTTAGTTGCTAAGTCCTGTAGCCGGAATATCTTGGAATCGTCTTCCATCAACGCTTCCTTGATGAGCGAGCATGCTTTCTCTACTGCACGCTCCTGTGGATCCTCAATGACGGTGTTGGGCTTGCACCTTTTGCATGCTCTGAAACCCGCAGCTTCTGCATCTAATGGCGTTTCATAAAACCCAACATTTGCTCGACGAGCCAGGCGCCCTGGACACGCCGGTCGACAATAGATGTTGGTAGATTTGACCGAATAGACAAATTGGCCATTTGCAGTGGCATCGCGGGTAACTAGCGCTCGCCAGCGAGTGGCCTCTGTGGCAAAAGCCATGAATTCGAGAGACTAGGAACGAGCAAACGGTTAGTACTGGGCTCCATGCATCGATTGAGTCGAGTCAAAGGTAACTTACGTGTGCTTCACTGTAGTAGACACGCCGCAAGGGCAATGTAAATGTCCTAGTTTTGTAAGGGCCAGATACGTTCTGACGTTCGTATCTATGACATTTCGATGTTGCCGAAAGAAAAAGTTTGGGATGGAAAGAGGATGCTCTCTGAGTCTTGCGAGCATATGGCGATGCGTACAGAACGTTGAGAAATGCGTACGGGCGTTGATATGGGCGGACGGATACTTGAACAAGCTGCCTCTGATTGGTCACATTGAGAACACGCCGATGACGTGGGGCATCATCCCTTTGCCACAGACGATGCTCGCAACAAGGTCCTAGCGAAGACTTGCATCGGAACAGAATTTCATAAAGTCTAGATGCCCCAATTGTTGCACACGTGATGATTGAGGCCTGTACACGTGACACCGCGTATGTGTCGTGACGGCTCCTTCCAAAGCGGCCTCTTCTCGTGTCGCGACTGGCAAGCACGATGCAGGTCCACAGCCTCAACCGCGCCCAAGCCTATATCTCTTCTCCACAGTTCTCCCTCTGCGGCGACTAGACGACGTGCCACGTTCTGCTAATTCATCGAAGATGGCAGAGAGCCCAAGAGGTTCACTGCCCAATATCGCGGCGCTATCACCAACCACAGCAAGGCAGATAGGTTCAGGTCAAGTCTTAGTCGATCCCAGTTCAATCGTGAAAGAGTTGATCGACAACGCTCTCGATGCCAGGGCGAAGAGCATCTTTGTAGACATCGCTACTAACGCCATCGACACCATTCAGGTAAAGGATGATGGTCACGGCATTCCGAGTCAAGACAGACCCTTGGTATGTCGTCGCTACTGTACAAGCAAGATCCGTGACCTTCAGGATTTGAGAGGAATAGGAGGCAAGTGGCTGGGATTTCGCGGTGAAGCACTTTCGAGCGTGGCCGAGATGAGTAGCTCGATCTTGGTCACTACGCGAGTGGAAGGAGAACCTGTCGCTGTCAAGCTGAAGTTTCAACGAAGCGGCGAGCTCGATAAGTGAGTTCCATGCTTCATGAATCAACCTTAGTATGGCCTTGATTCACACCAAAGTAGTGTCGAGCGCGAATCGCACCCAGTGGGAACAACAGTGAAAGTCACTGGGATCTTCGAGCACATACCAGTGCGGAAGCAGACTGCACTCAAGAACGCTTCAAAGTGTTTGGCGAAGATTCGGCACCTCCTACAAGGCTATACGTTTGCGAGGCCAGCCGTTCGCTTCCGACTCCGCGTCCTGAAGGCCAAGAGTGATAAGAGCAATTTCGTCTACGCACCAAGTTCGATAGTGAGCATCGAAGATGCTGCCATGAAGGTGGTCGGTAAGGATTGTACCCTACAATGTGACTGGACCGCCCTACAAGCGGAAGGTTTTGAGATACATGCCTTTCTACCCAAGCCAACTGCGATTGGGTCAAAAGTTTCGAACCATGGCGCCTTCGTTTCTATCGATGGGCGTCCCATATCTAGCCGACGCGGGACTGTCAAGCAGATGGTAACAGCCTTCAAAGCCCGACTTCGCAAGATGAGTCCTTCAGTCTCCTGTGTCAAAGACCCTTTCATATGTGTCAACATCGTTTGTCCGCCCGATAGCTACGACCCAAACATCGAGCCAGCCAAAGACGATGTTATGTTTGAAAATGATGAGGTTATTCTTGATGTCTTTAACCGACTGCTGAACACATACTATCCAGAGACTGCAATGGTTCCGGCGAACGGCAATCTGCCTGTCTCCGCCCAACAGCGTCAGTCGGCAGAAGCTGAAGTCTTACCTCGTCGCATGTGCACTCCCACACAAGAACACGATGCCGACTCTAATCCAATTGATGGGGCTTCTGCATCTGATTCTCACGGACAGCCGCCATGGAGATCTAGCATGTATGGCATAGATGAAGATGATATGCACTTTATCCAGGACGGGCAGCCTCCGATCGTCGAAGAAGAGGAGGGTGTACGGGCCGCAGAAGTATCAAATCCTTGGACCATTGCGCGGATGAACGCGGCAGTCAAGCCTAGGAGGCCAATTGTTGTTAATCCGTTGCTGAGCCCAGCGAAGAGTCAATGTGGTTTATCATCACAAAACTCCACCACTACTGTCAATGCACCTCGCCAAGATTTGTACATGGACCCTCTGACTCCACAAAGCTTGTCGAAGGTGAGGACGTCAAATCAGCTCGACGACGAGCTGGTGGGAAGTATCACCTACAAGGTACCGCACTTGCGATGTGAAAAGGCGCATGATGTTGGAAATCATGATCAGTCTGGCTCTCCTCTGATGAGAGTGTCTGAGGTCCCTTCTCCAACCAACGGCATATTGACTTGTTTCAGCGGATCAAATCATCGAAAATTTGACAGCAAGATATCTGGTGATGATAATATTGTCAGCGCAGCTCAGAGAACGCATTTCCCAAAGACATCGATCTCACATCAGAAGCGGCAGAGGCGACAAGTGGCATCCGTGAACAAGCCTTACGCCCTTGCAATTCCAGCTACAGAAGATCGTGACACATGGTTTGGACAGCCAATGGCAGGCTCTGGATCCCAGTCCAAGTCTCGTCAGATAAGTCGTCCGAAAGTTCAAGGTGCTGCCGTGTTCTCAAGTGAAAGAATACCAAGTCCACGAAGACGTGTCGTCAACACTACGGACCGCACGATGGCAAATCAACTCTACTCGGAAGACAACACCAATATTCGTGACTTCTTTGTTCGTGTTAGCGAGCGAGAACATGGCACTGTGTCGCCTAGACTGTCCATGCCTACCGTTTCTTCGCCTCGAAGAAGTCACAGAGAGATCAGTGAAAGTCCCGGAGACTTAGGAGAACAGCTTAGAGATTACGCCGAGCGAGCAAGCCCTACAAGAAGAAAAATCGTTAAGTGATACTTCAATTCTACTAGATGCAGGAGATGGGCAGGTCTACCAGCACAGTCATCCGTCTACCAATTGTATGCAACCTTCCTTTATGGGGAATGAACGGCAATCGCCACTCCTAGATATGCCAGCCTACCCGCCCACCGTCATGAGTTGCCACCGCAACGAAGAACAATCAGGAAATTCGAAAGCAATGGAAGCCCACTTCAAAAACATTGAGGCGCGCGAAACACTCCACTTAAGCCAACATATCCCTTCCATCCACACCATCGCACCTCGCATCCCCCTTCTCCCCAAGAACCCAACAAAACCCTCATCACGACGCCGTCGTCGCACAACCGACGGCCTGGAACGTACCAAATCCTCCAGACTCCCACTCGAGCGTGTACCCCGCGGCTACCATATCCAAAACCTAATTCAGCCCATGCAACTCACAATCGCGACCCTAACCCAAGCGACTTGCAACCTCGACATGCGTCTCAACAGTCTGGAATGGGGTCGTCTTGCCGACGCGGACTCTAAAAAATGCTTTGCTGAGCCGGCGTTGGTGGGTAGAGTTACCATGTGGACTGTTCGGCTCGACGGCTTGCTAGATGCGCTTTTTGGCCGTCGGAGTGATGTGGATACCATTTGTCTGCTGCATGAGGGCGTGCAGAGGGGACTTGAGCAGAGGAACGAGGAGGGGTTGGGAAGTCCTGGCATTTTGCATGCGGGTCTGGCTGGAGGTGGGGTGATTGATGGTGTCGTTGGTACGGGTGGAAAAGCAGGTGTGGATGTGGATGACGATGTCGTCTGTACGACGCTGGGAGATGGGATTGTAGATGTGGATGATGGCCGGGATCAGAGCGTGCAAGTTAAGAAAGCAGATGACGGAAACGTCAGTCTTGATATGTCGCAGTTTCTCAATCTGGACGCTGATGTCCCAGTGTCAACGGTAGAGGAGGTGGCAATGCCGAACCTGGTTCAGTCGGATGAAGAGTTTGCAAAGGAGATTGATGACGATATGTTACTTGAGCTCTGATGCCGCAAAATGGAGGAGAAAAGGGTTGGCAAAAGGGGTGGAGAAATGATGAATGGTGTATGTTGTGGCAGATTGTGGGATTTTGATGTGATCTATAGAGGGCAGGATGCTGTTTTGCGCTACGCAGGTTCGATCAATATCCAACAAGGAGCAATGCGCCATGGTCTTGTGTGGTATATTCAACTGCCCGTCTAAAGATCTCATATGCGTTTCTAAAAGCTTCATTGCATCTAATGGATATTCCATTCGTATATCATCTCATATCATCTCATCATCACGACGAAACATGGCGGAAGGCAACTTCCTCTGGCAATCTAAAGCTCGCGCAAAACATCCTCTTCTTGGGCGCCACATCCCTGACATCCCAGATGGTTACCTCGGGAGTGTCAGGCGTGATATCGTGTCCGATTTGCCTGCTAATTTCCGCACAAATTTCCTTTGTCTCGGCGAGATTGTCTTCGCTTTTGGTGCTGAAGCAGTGGACGTGGATCATGGGTAGTTTCTGGCTGGTGTGGGGGGCGAGTAGCTTCTTGATGTCCTCCGCAGGCATGCCCGGTACATTGGCGTACAGACCGATGAAGTTGGGGAGGAAGGTTATGGCGGAGGCGGGCAGATTCATGACGTAGTGTGAGAAGAAGCGTGGTTGGACGAGGGTCTTGAGTGGCTCAGGTTTCTTGTTGGTCTCTGGTGCCGACCTGGAGAACTTTGTCTTTGGGTATATGGGGACCGAGTGGGGCTCGCTCTTCAGTAGGTCTATTGCAGATTGTTTTATGAATGCTCCGCCGTCGGTGTTGAAGGGCTGTACGTAGTCGCCGACTTTGTTGATCTTGATGTTGCCTTGGAGAGACTTGAAACTCTCTGGGTTCAAGTCATTGGCCCAGACAAAGCATTTTTTCTTGCCTGCTGGGACGGCGAAGGGGCCTACACCGGCCATGACATCGCATATGGCTTCGCCCTCCTGAAAGAGGCTGCACAGACGCTCGTGCTCGGTCTGTAGTCTCGTGTTCCAGTACACCTGGGCGAAGTCGAATCTAAATGTACAGCCTTGTTCGCGCAATTCGACGTTCAGGTCATCCGGTCCGTGAAGCACTTCATACTGGAAGGTTCGAAATGCGTTCTCGCTGCCCACATTATCCAGCTTGTTGATGACAGTCTTGACACTGGGGTTCTTGTCGGCGAGTACGGTCGCGATAAGGTGTTTATAGGGCCAATAGCGCTCACGGAGGTTTAGATGGGCCACGTGCCCGGCGAGCGCGAAGCCCTGGGGTATCTCGTCGTCGTTCTTCTTCTCTGGTGCGGGGATGATGGCGGAAGTGATCTCGGAGTAGGTGAAATAGTCGTAGTCGAGCTGCAGCTGATATGGGATGACACCAAGCGTGCCCTGCTGCTCGAGATTGCGCAGATTATTGCTCCATGTTGTTCGATCTGCCTGGGTTCAGACTCAGCACGTCAAACATCCCACCCTGCGCAAGACTCACCACTGTGGACGACTTCTGGGCGCAACAACAGACACTTGGTGCCCTTTTGTGCAAACTCGGTATCTGGGTCTGGCCTGATGGGATCCACGCGATTCGTCGGCAGGGTATCGTGACCTGCAGTCAATTCCTTGCGGCAGCGCGAGATATCCTTTGGGTTGAAGATGCGAGCGGCCGAGGTGGGGATGGTCTTGCGGAAGAAGCTGCGATCCAGCACCTTCATAGCACGGTTCACAGGCGCCGCGAACATGTCGTCGTCGTCGTCGTTGGAGGGGGCAGGCGTGGACATGGATGGTTCTTCCTGATTGCGTGAAGGGTTGGTGGAAAGGTTTTGGAGTTGAGAGAATCTGGGGAATGACGCAGGGTCCAGCGGGCCAGGCACGACGCTCACGTTTCTACAGCTGAACATTTTTTAGAGTTAGGTATCATCCGCGTTAAAACCAAAATAGACTGGAGGCTCCAAGGAATAGGATGTTTCTATAAATTGTGGGTGGTGTTGATCCATTATTACTGCTTCAAATTGGGAAGCTCTTTTTCTCCATTCCCCCCTTTGCGGACTCACGTGAGGGTCGTCGGGAGTTAAGGGTGGCGGGATGCCACTTCAGGTGAGCTCTCTTTCTCTCTCTCCCGACGGTCGGTCCGCCTGAGCGTTGCAGGGCTGCAAGGATGCACGCTTAAGTTACCGGGACTGTCAAGACATCTGGATGGTAATTACGCGACTCGACAACAACAACACCCACGTTCGCCATACATAAAGGACCTCCTGATTCCCCCCTGCGACGCCCTCGGACGCCCCCTCCCCCCCCCCCCCCACGACATGCCATGAGACTCTCGAGATACCGCGCATGAATGCAGATTTGCCTCTGAGCTGCGCACTGGCCGCTCTCCCCTAGGAACCGGTACTTGTTTCTTGCAGCCCTGAACCACGCCACAGGTTGTCGACGGTTGACGAACTACGGACACGATGGCGTCCAACGGAGGAAACATCAAGGTGGTGGTGCGATGTAGGCCCTTCAATGGGCGAGGTAAACTCCAGACCTTCTGTTCCAGCTACTCCCCAGTTAACAGTCGGCAGAGACCGCTCGCAATGCACAATGCATTGTCAAGATGAAAGGTGACCAGACCATCCTCTCCCCACCCAGCGAAGTCAAGGGAAAGGCCGCCAAAGCCGCCTCCGAAGGTGTCAAGACATTCGCCTTCGACAAATCGTACTGGTCGTTTGACCGCAACGCCCCAAACTACGCAGGCCAGGATAACCTTCATGAAGACCTGGGCAAGCCACTGCTTGACAACGCCTTTCAGGGTTACAACAACTGCATTTTTGCGTATGGGCAGACGGGGTCTGGAAAGTCGTACTCCATGATGGGCTATGGGGCCGACCCTGGTATCATCCCCAAGATTTGCCAGGACATGTTTGAGAGGATCAAGGTGGTGCAGCAGGACAAGAACGTAGGCTGCACCGTGGAAGTGTCATATCTGGAAATCTACAACGAGCGCGTGCGCGATTTGCTGAACCCTTCGAACAAGGGTAACCTGCGAGTTCGCGAACATCCTTCGACCGGACCCTATGTCGAAGATTTAGCCAAGCTGGTGGTACAGTCCTTTCAGGAGATTGAAAACTTGATGGATGAAGGAAACAAGGCCAGAACCGTGGCCGCCACAAATATGAACGAGACATCCTCGCGATCGCACGCCGTATTCACCTTGACCTTGACCCAGAAACGCCATGATACGGACGCTGGCATGACGGGAGAACGAGTCGCGAAGATTAGTCTGGTCGATCTGGCAGGCTCGGAAAGAGCGCAGTCTACCGGTGCGACAGGAGCTCGGTTGAAGGAGGGTGCAGAGATTAACAGATCGCTGTCCACTTTGGGTCGAGTCATTGCAGCACTAGCAGACATGTCGCAAGGAAAGAAGAAGACACAAGTACCATACAGAGACTCGGTTCTGACATGGCTACTGAAGGATTCGCTAGGAGGCAATAGCATGACTGCCATGATTGCTGCCATCTCGCCTGCTGATATAAACTTCGAGGAGACGCTCTCCACCCTTCGTTACGCCGATTCCGCGAAGCGCATCAAGAACCACGCCGTGGTCAATGAAGACCCCAACGCACGTATGATTCGAGAATTAAAGGAAGAGCTGGCAAAATTACGAGGTCAATTGACCGGGGGTGGAGGTGGCCCAAATGGCATCATTGAAGAACAGTACGCTCCAGATACTCCGCTGGAAAAGCAGATAGTCTCCATCACCCAACCGGATGGAACGATCAAGAAAGTCTCCAAGGCCGAAATCGTGGAACAGTTGGATCAATCGGAAAAGCTCTACAAGGATTTGAATCAAACATGGGAAGAAAAGCTCCAGAAGACCGAGGAGATTCACAAGGAACGAGAAGCCGCTTTGGAGGAGCTGGGCATCAGCATTGAGAAGGGCTTCGTCGGGCTATCGACACCAAAGAACATGCCACATTTGGTGAACCTGAGTGACGATCCTCTACTTACTGAATGTTTGGTTTACAATCTGAAGCCGGGCACAACGACGGTCGGCAACTCTGATGTAGAAGGTCAGACTGCTCAAATACGTTTGAACGGTTCGCAGATCCTCGCAGATCACTGCAACTTCGAGAACGTAGACGGCAAGGTCACCGTAATACCAAAGGAGACTGCAAGCGTCATGGTCAACGGTGTACGCATCGATAAGCCAAGATTACTCAAGAGTGGTCACCGCATCATCCTTGGCGACTTCCACATCTTCCGTTTCAACAACCCGCAAGAAGCAAGGGCTGAGCGTGCAGAGGTAGGCACAAGCCTTCTTCGTCACACTGTAACCGCCAGCCAACTGAATTCTCCTTCCCCTGCACCACGGCCAGGCCATGACAGATCGTTCAGTAGCATCAGCGTAGCAAACTCTGATTTCGATCCCGATAGCCCACGCGCTGCATCACCTGCGTTCTGGCAACGCGGACGAGAATCCGAGTTCTCATATGCTCGTAGAGAAGCCTTGGCCGCTTGGCTTGGTCCTGAGAAGCGCATCGAGAATCTGCCAGACGAAGACTTTGAAGCCCTTTTCGAAGATCTCAGCAGACTGCGCGAAACACGCAAGACACGTCCAGAGAGTCGTGTATTCAGCGACGAAGACCTAGAGTCTACTTCTTCGTATCCCGTAAGAGAGAAGTATGCTTCAGGAGGAACGTTCGACAATTTCTCACTCGATACCATGTTGACAACACCATCTACACCGATGCAGGATGGGAGCGAGAAGATGCATGACATTCAAGAGGATTCGCAGGAGAGGGTGAATGCACAAAAAGACGACTTTCAGACAAAATTGAAGGCTGGTGTAGAGGCCAAGGCCGAGCTTGAGGAGCTTCGAGCAGCGAAAGAACAAATGCAAAAACAGCTTCGGGAACAGAAGGAGTCGTTTGAGCGTCAACTCCGTGAACTCGGGCACGAACCAACACCGGATCCAGATGATGAGCAACCGACCGAATCATCTGGGCAAAATGAAAAACAACTTGAACTGGCCAAAAAGGTCTTTCAGCAGTGGCGACGGCGTAAGTACGTCACCATGGCCGAGACACTTTTACAAAATGCGGCAATCTTGAAGGAAGCCCAGATCCTAAGCCAGCAAATGGACAAGCGCGTCGTGTTTCAATTCTGCATTGTCGATATCGGTCACACTGTACCCTCATCTTACGACCTAGTCAACATAGACGTTCCTAGCGAGGATGATGAGTATCTGGATAGTCAATCGAAGCCATGTGTTGGCGTCCGTGTTATCGATTTCAAGAACGAGGTCGTTCACCTGTGGTCAATACAAAAGCTCCGCGATCGCGTGCGACGAATGCACCATATGGCTCAGTACATGAATCGACCTGAGTATTTCCAGCACTTCAACCCCGAATCTCCCTTCTCGGAACCTTGCATGCCCGAGTTCTCACGTATAGGTGACGTGGATGTTCCTCTTGCAGCAGTTTTTGAGTCTAGAGTGCGGGATTTTAGCCTTGATGTAATCTCACCATACACAGCCAACCCAATTGGCATCATTCGGTTGTCTCTTGAGCCCTCGTCGGCGGAAGCACCATCCACAACATTAAAGTTCAATGTGGGTATGCATGAGTTCATCGGCTTCCCAGAAAGAGAAGGCACTCAGGTTCATGCTGTGTTATTCGTACCAGGAATCTCAGACGAGAGTGGTGCAACGACGACGACGTGGATATCAGGTTTCAATGAAGGTCCGATTCGGTTTGAGAGCGTGCACAGCATGAGCCTTCCGTACCCGAGCCCCCGCGAAACGTTCCTCCGCATCTCTATATTTGCCAAAGTCTCTGACATACATCTCGACAAGCTACTTAGTTGGGATGACATGCGTGACTCTGCAGACAAGCCACGGGAGAAGCGACGAAACGCGCGATTACCGGAGTCGGAGTTTTATACTGAAGATACACATGATATTTTCACTCGCATACAGATTCAAGAGATCACGGATGACGGTACATATAAGCCTGTTGACGTTACTCAAAGTAGCATCATGGACGCTGGAGTATACCAGTTGCACCAAGGATTAGCTCGGCGCATCGTCGTCAATCTCACTCACACGTGTGGGGAGACTTTACATTGGGACAAGGTCTCATCGATGCGCATGGGCCGCATCAGACTGATTGATGCCTCGGGAAACACCCCTGGTATTGATTCCCCAGTGAAGGAGATCCCTGTAGACTTTGTCACGCCTCCAATTGTTCGAGAGAATGCGGACGGCACAACAAACGTCAAATTTGTAGGGCGTTGGGATAGCACGGCACATGGCTCCCTCTTACTCGACCGTGCAACACAAGACAAATACCGTGTCTCGGCGACGTTGCTTTTCGACGTTGCCTCCTCAAAGCTCACCGATCCCATGACCTTCTCTCTAGACCTGGGATTACAGATTCGTGGTCGTTCATACATGCGCCAGACCTCACTGTTCTCTCTAGCCACAATCTGGAACACTGTGAAGATTGTACACTCCACAGTAGGCATCTTCAACGTCGTGATTCGCCCTGCTTCTGTCAAGCGTGCAACCGATCTTTGGCGTATGAATACCAAAGATGATTACATCAAGGGCGAAGAGCAACTTGCCGGCTGGACACCTCGCGGTGTCTCCTTGGTGCGCGATTTCATCGACCTGGAGAAGCGCCGCCGCCGGATTGCAGAAATCGAAACCGCGCGCTCAACCCTATCCTCCAAAGCCCTCAGCGTCTCCGCATCCGCCTCTCCAAGTCCCGCCCCTGATCTCGACGACAGACAGAAAGCGCTTCTCCAGCGTATAATCTCCCTCTGGAAAACGAAAAAAGCCCCCGCAGAAATCATTCTCAACCCAACAAACCTCGAGCCCCCCTCCAACGGCGCCGCCTTCGCCCCGCGCTCGCCATCACCCCTGCCTGTTCCAAAACCCAGCCTTACAGCCACGGTCCGCTTCATCTCAAAAAACCCAAATCTAATGAAAGCCTCGTACCTCCTCACCCCCGACACCACAAACACACGCTGGGTGCGCCGCTACGTCGAGTTACGCAAACCCTACCTGCACATCTACTCGACCGACGGTGACGAAATCAACGCCATCAATATCTCCACCGCGCGCGTCGACCACTCGCCGCAGATTGCGCGTCTGCTCGGCGGTGGCCAGTGGCAGCAGAGTAACGGTGCGGCGACAAAGGATACGGTGTTCGCCGTATTTGCGAGGAGTAATACGTATATCTTTCGTGCGCGCAGTGAGCGCGAAAAGATTGAGTGGATCTTGAGACTCGATCAGAGTTATTTTAGTGGCGAGGGGAGTGAGGCGAGTTCGTGAAGAGCGCTTTGAGCTTATGGCAGAGGGAAGACGGTGAATTAAAAAGCGTGTGTGGATATATCAGGGGGATATAATGGTATTTAGACGTTCTTTTTGCGCTAGGACTGGGATGGGACTTGTTGTCGTGCGTTAATCCGTTTTTGACAATTGGGTGGTTAGTAGCGTCGATGGCGATATGCATCGTTCGTCGGCTGGTGGGCGCGTTCGTCGGCTGGTGGGCGCGTTTGGACGTGTTTCATTTTTTTGGGATACCCTGAGCATGATTGTTGTAATGTGCTCGCAATTGCGATTGGTATTAGTGGCGTGTGGTGTGTTTTGTGTGTTGCATGTTGTGTCGTGTCTATCTGTGTGAGAAAGAGGGTTCTATCGTTCATCCTACCCTACGGTGATTTCGAAACTCTGCTTCGCTCGCGGATGTGATGCAATGTCATTTTGTAACTTGCCATGCGCAGAACTCGATGTAGTTATGCTGAGAGCAGCACTTTTATCGTCATATCCTAACAGCACATTCCCCCCCATCTCTCCCCCAAAGCCCACATATTCGCCCTGCCCACCCTTTTTCACACCCACCCAATCATGCAAAAAGCGCCGCATGCCTGGGTCACAGACACACCATGGAACCGGTTCACGGCACATGACATGTCTTTTGCGTAAATGTGCTTCTGCCGCACAAACAGGTGGATCGCTGGATGGCCGGGGAGGCGGTGCGTGCGCTGGGTATAGGTCGTGTATATATATATTCGCCATTGGGAGATGGGGCATGGGCTATGCTTCCGTGTGCAGGTAGCCCGGCACCGGGTCTGGAGTTGGTGTATGGAATTGGGGGTTTTTTTTGCAATGGCAGTCTTCTTTGACATGGTAAGGTTGTTGTGCAAGTTTGAATGTTTGGAAGTGGAAGGGGAAGGGGGGCAGAAGAAATGTTATGGGCTTTGCGAATTTTGAAATCGCTCGAGTGATGTGATGTCGCTGATCTTGACATCAATTTTCTTTTGTCGGCTATCTTGTCTTATACGATGGGTAGGAGATGATGCTTCCAGATGGATCATCATGCACTGTGCGCAGAGTATTTTGGTGGCGCGATGTAGGTCTTACGACGGAGCACTGAACATATGGAAAATGTTACAATCTTTGATCTTTAATTGGTACAGTGGACGATTTGGCGGTAGGGAGCCGGCAAACATTCGTCTTCAACATTGTTTTTTTAAAAGTAGACAGTGACATGCTTGATGAGTCTGCGAGAGAACATCGCGCATCGCATTCGGTCTCGACTCATAAACAGCACTACATGGTGGCTTGAGAGGGCGGAGGGGGAGGCAACGGTCATATTTCTTCCTTTGTTTGTAGTCTTGCTCACAACACACACATTCAAGGAGTATGCCTGGTTTTCAGAACGTAACGAGAACTGGGTAGTGATGAGGAATGGAAGTAGCAGGACGCGGATTTTATAGTCGAGCAAAAAAGGTCAAGGAGGTCATCGAAAAACGAACCCTCGTTCTCATGTCTCAAAATGGAGAAATACTTGCCGCCACACAATCCATGACATTTTGAGATAGTCGTTTGCTTTTTGAGCAAGCATGAACACGTCCGTCATTCACTTTCATAGATCACTCTTCTGGATTTTTGGAGGAAAAAGCTCAAGGTCGCGGAAGGGTAATGATATCTTGCACCCGGGCTAGGGAGCGATAATCGAGATTATGAGATTGCTCATATCTCGCTTGACTTGTAACATGGAATTTGGCCAACATTCCCATCGGGTAGCTGTTGTGCAACGATGTTGCTCGACGGTGGGAAGACAACATGAGCAGAATTGTTTCTATCTTGAATAAGGGCAAAAGTTTGTGTGATGTAGGTAATAGTATTGCAAAGTGACTAGCATAGTCTATATGGTGATTCTGTGGTTCAGACCAGAACTTTCTACCATCGCGCCACGGTCATGACATTTGTTTTTCGTTAAACAATCAATAAATTCTATTTTTGAGGCGTTTGAAAATTCCCACGTAGCACCTGTGAGGCCGGTTTCTCCACTTTTGTATCGGCAATGACTTTGCAAAGTTGTGGGTGAGCCGGCGCTTATATATTCGTAGTTAGTTATAGACTGCATAACACATATATGTGTGTTAAATAGAATACTGAAAATGCAATAAATGAATCAGAAGTAAAAGCAAAGATTGAATTTAGAATATTACGCACTGCACCGGTCTAGGTAATTACCTTCAACCTTTCTCATACAAAGAAAGATCGGGCGGAACCATATCATCTAGCATCGCGGCCCTCTCCAGCATCCAGACATGCAAATTCGACCAATTGACGCATATGTGAGCCTGCGGCACTCGAACCGTATGCTTAACTCGACTATGAGGTGTCCATTCAAGCGTGTAGACCGAAACATCAGGCTGGCGTAGTAGCGTCTGCCTTAAACTTTCTAGGCAATGGTCTACAGCCACACGTCAAAACTTGTTTCTGCTAGAGTTGCAAAAATGGGGGTTGATGCAATACTCACCTACATGAGATTCGACTTCATCCCAATCTTGCTCTTCGGATGAGCTTTCTCCCCAGCATTCAAAACGCTTCGATCTCCCCTTAAACGCCATGGAAATGAAGTCCTTTGTGTACCTGGGTTATACTCTGCTATCGGCAGTCTTTGTCACAGCTGCACCATTCCCAGGTACCACGCATCGTCAACCTAACAGCGGAATGATGCTGCCTCTGATATTCTAACAAGTTCAAGGCACGGCAATCAAGCAAGATGGATCTTCGGAGTTCAACACAGATCTTTGCATTCTGAAGAAGCGGGGAGATATCCTTAGGGTCGTGATCGACAATTGCGATATGTGACGATTAGAGCAGTCACTACGGTACAAAACTAGTTTACTGTAGCTATATTTATCTAAAGTAGACTAAGAAGTGGTTTAGGTAGAAGAAGTAAACCTAAATAGGGTGTATTATACTATATATTCTATAAAAGTAAACTACTTTTATTTCTACTTCTATTAATCTACTAGTAGACGCATGTTTTTATGTGAGTAGTAAATATCATGAATTGGACGCGTCGTCTTACCATATATCTCGCAGTCGTCCTGGCTAGTAGATGGAGTGGAGATGAGGAGCGAGACGTGAATAGTGAAGATGATGTACCAATAAACGAGTCGTATCACACATTAGATATTGGATGAAAAGCAAAAGAGCAGCCTTTTAAAAAAGTCAAACATCGTCATATCATCCAAGTGTGTTTCCATTCGCCTCATGCACTGTACAAAATATCACTTGAATTCTTCCACACTCATAGCTCGTTATGCTCGGGCTGCGCCTCCGGTGCTGCCTCAGTCTTCTCCTCGGCCGCTGCCGGCTTCTCGGCACCAGTCAACAGAGACTCAGGCAGCTTTTCCTTCTTACCATCTCCCATGCGGATAGCATCTACCCAAGATTCAATCTCCTTGACGCCAAAAGCGTTTCCAGGATACTTCCTATACCAGGAACGCTTACCATTGGTGGCAACGAGGTGGACTTGGTCTCCAGATCCAAGGCTCAATTCGGCAAGCAAAGTGGCGGCAAGAGGGTTCGATGCTGAGACCCCGACAAAAGGGAACAGGTTGCTGCCAATAGTTTCATATTTCTTGTGGATTGATGCAAGAGAGGCTAGGGCAGTCTTTGCAGCCTCTGATGATTCGTCTGTTGGCATGATGGCGAGAATGCACGTCTTGCTCTTCTCATTCAAGCAGAGCGACTGGAGCTCAGGGGCTTCAGTGAGAATGGAAATCTTGGGCTTGAGCTCCTCTTCAGGAATCACGATAGGTTCCGGTGTAGTCTCATCCTTCAGGTTTGCGTCAGGTGACTCGGTGGCTGCGATGGGCTCTTCGACGGTCTCGTCTGCAGCTGAGGCAGTCGCGGACGAGGCCTCATCAGCCTTGTGAGCGGCGGAGGATTTGGCAAACTTGCTCGAGGATTTTGCCTCTTTCTTGTTCTCCTTCTTGCTGTCCTTCTTGCCTTTTGCCTTCTTCTCCTTTGGTGCCGGGCAGTCGGGGTTCGGTGGAGCGATCTGGGACAAGAACTTGACCATATCGGCCTTCTCCACCTTGCCATCATACTTGATTGGTGTGTCTGATCCAGCTGGTAGGAGGATCAGACTGGGGAACTCGGTGATGCCATACTTCTCTACAGCCGCCTTCTCCGACTTCTTGATCTGGGCGATAGAAATGACACCAGCGAAATCAATGGCCAGCGAGCGTAGAGTAGCGCTGACGATGCCTTTGTCGCTGAACAGAATAGCCTTTGCGCTTTCCTTGTTCTCCTGTAACCACTCATCCAAGTTTTTGTCGTTGACCCTCTTGACGATGTTGGGGACCTTGTCCTTGACCGCCTCGACGATACCTTTGGCCGAGCGCGGACCTTGGTAATCTTCCACCGTCGGCTTTCCTGGCTTCTTGCCTGGGCGAACAATCTTCAGGGTAGGGAAGCCCTGTACGCCCATCTTCCCGCAGAAGGGCTTGTTCATCTCGTCGTCGCAATTGACGGCGGCGACTTTGGCGATCCCGGCGAGCGACTTGGCGGCCGTCTCGTAGGCGGGCTTGAGGTTCTTGCAGTGGCCACACCATGGCGCGTAGAATCTGGAAAGGTAAGAAGAGTGCCAAGTTGAGGTTGGGGGAACTGCCTACTCAACAATCTAAGTCATTGTTAGTGTCAAGCTCAAGTATTGTATTGGATGCAATCAATCTGGGAGCTCACCGAGGTGTAATTTGAATTTGCAATGACTCTGTCATAGTCCATGCCGTTGATCTGTAGGACACTGGATCCTTTGCTGTACATGCTCTCGGCCTGTGCATTGAGTGCAAGTGCTGCCGTGGCAGCAAACAGAGTGGTGGAGCGCACCATGATGGGTATTGAGGTATACGTGGCGTCAGATCAGATTTGGAGAAGAAAAAGACGAGGAGTGTAGAGGTGTAGGCTTATTATATAGATCTGGCATCACTTCTCATGTTGCCAGGTTGTCCTTTCAAGGGCTACTAACAATGTATAAATGAAGCTCTGAGGCGGGAAACGGATGGTCCTAGCGCGTTGCGGGGCATGCATGGCCGGCCTGACAGGGATGTACGAGTTTCCATGAGTGCCTACCGGTATCCTAGGTTGTGACCACATTTGCTCTCCAACCCTCAGCCAGAAACAGAAACAGAAACAGAAAGAAAAATAGGAATAGAAAGAAAAACACAAACACTGTACGACCACCATGGCGGACACGATCCCTACAAAGCTCAAGGGCCTGCAGCTGGCCTCATTTGCCAAGCGCGCAGCCCAGCTTGAGCGCTTCAAGCCCATTGTCACGTATTGGCGTGAGTACCGACTGAGTGACGGACTGATTGACTGACAATCAAACTGACAGCACCGCCTCATGACAGCTCAGATAGGCTGACCCCAGACAGTGCGCTTCTACATTGTCCAGCGAATCATCTCCAGTGGCCTGCACTCGGCCGATCAAGAATGCACCGCCTACACCACCGACCTCATGGAGAAGCTCGAGCAGGCCAAGGCAGACAACCCCAACGAAGATGCCTTGCTGGACGACACAGTTGCGAGCGCCTATTGCGAGCAGTTTGCGCTGCAGACCCTCGTAAAAGGAGAGAAGGAAATGGCAGAGAACAGAGCCAATGGGTATGCACATGGCCTCTTTCACAGGCATATTGCCCACATAGTGACCATAGAGCAGCGCTACAGCAGACACCCTTCTCGCCGCCTCGACCTTCCTCGAAATCATGTCGATATGGAAGACAGAATCCGACCCAGAAATCACATCCAAGACCAAGTTCGCCAAGTACCACGCTCTACGCATCGTCAAGGCCATCAAGGCTGGTGAAGATCCAAACCTCACCAATCCCATACAAGAACAGCAAGCGGTCGCGTCACCGCCTGACCTCGATCCGAGCGACCCAGAAGTCCAGCGTATAGATCCAGGTGCTCCAATGCAGCCACCCCAAAACCCATATCAGTCGTACGTCGAAACGGCACCAAACACATCCGCTCAGCCCTCCCCGACCTTCTCTGCACCACCGCTATCGCCGCCTCCTCTCAACTTTCCCTCCGCTCCCACGGGGAACTCTCAACCCTCTCATAACGATGTATCTCCCATGTCACAACCAGCTTCATCCCGTCAAGGCTCCGTAGTCTCGGTAGGTGGCGGCTACTTTCCAAGGACAGACCCTGCACCTCCCACCTTCACAGCGGAACCGACAACATCCGGTCTGCCCACTGCACCCTCGATGGACAATGACCCAATCATGTCTGATTTGCCGGACGCTCCCCAGACACAGACACCATCGGCCTCGGATGCCGCAAGCTTCTACCAGAGCACCACCTCTCCACCACCAATTATGCAACAACAGCCGCCTCCTCCACAACCACAATACCCGTCTGCACCCCCACAGAATCCGTACGCTCAACATTCTGTCCCACCTCCGCCACCAGCGTCACAAGGGCCGCTAAGAAATGACGAGGACTCTATCATGGAGGCTACTAAGCATGCAAAGTGGGCCATATCGGCCCTGAACTTTGAAGATGCTGCGACGGCGGTCAAGGAACTACGTATTGCCTTGAGAGCTCTAGGTGCAAACTAGCCATTGTCACTTGGGAGAGCAGGCTAGAGTTTGCAGTGGATTGTGATGGCCTCGAGATTTAGCATGACATGTTTTTCGTTGGTGTTGTATACCCTGGTCACGTATATGGTTTAAAAGGATGGTAGTATATAGTGTGGTATCTAGTCATCAATATGACCAATCAAACACTACATTCGCAGGTTCAAGCTGTAGATTCCATCTTATTGACATGGACGTATAATCATCATGCGTAAACCTGCCACACACCACCCAAACATGCATGTATTCACAGTCAATCTTTCCACCCACCTACGCCTTAAACCCTACTTTCTCGACCGCACACCCCACCAAATCATCCCCACGAATCACATTCGTCGCAGCCACCACCACACGGCTGCCTCTCCCCTCCCCTCCCACCTCCCTCAACTTCCCGCCTACAAACCGCAAGGCCGCAATCTCTGCCCTCGTGACACCACCCAAAAAGAAGACGACGACCGTCTTGCCGGCATCCCCATGACTCCCATTCAGCATGCTCCGCGCCTTGACCGCCTTCTCCTCTCCCTTTTGCACTTCGTCAAACGTCGCGCCCTTAACGTACTTGCTCGCGTCGTCGAAGATGCGGAGACCCTGTGCGAGGGGATTGGCCTGGGCCGCGGTGGCAGGATTCGCCGGCGGTTTGATGGTGTTTGCCAGCGTTTGTTTCTGGATGAGGGACTGGACGATGCGCACGCTGAGGGGCGCATAGCCTGAAAACGTGTACGAAATATCGTTTGGCTCTGCTTCATTCACCTCGTCGTCCCAGAGTTTCAACGTCTTGCGCAGCGGCGTGTAGTTTGTTACGCTGCCTGGCTTCGCGGGCGCGCCACTGCTGATACCCACGACTCCACCGCGGACACCCAGGAGTCCCATTTTCTCGAGCGAGGCAAGTGTGAGAATGTGTTGCGGGCCGTAGGCTTGGATGATTGCACGTTTGAAGCTATCTAGGTCTTTGGGACGGATACCGGCGTTTGTGGTGCTTTCGAGGCAGAGAAGGCGCAGGATCAGGGGAAGGGGCACGTCGCGGTTTATGAGCTCAGTGATGGTGTCATGCTGGGTTATTGGGTCGGCGCCGGACATGATGTTTTGTTGGATTTCTAGGGAGCGAGTGAAGATGTCTGTGCGAGTGTATTTGATGATTTCTTCGGCGAGGGAGGTGTGTAACTTTAGACTGGCTTGTTCAGCTTGATAGCCGGGGAGTTTGGCGACGAATTCTCGAAGCTCAGATGTGGTTTTTGCGGCGAGTTGGTTGCGTTCTGTGCTGCTTTGCAGGCGGCGGGCTACTTTGTTGAGGAGATTGCCCACTATGGCGAAATTGGCGTCGCCAAGGTCATTGTAGAGTGAGTCCTTGGAGTCGATCATGATCTTACGCTTCATGCTTGTCGATGCTGAGCCTGTTTGGCCGGGCTGTGGGCCTGCGCCACCAACGACAGATGAATCAACCTCTGTTTGGTTCGCTGTGATGTTAAAGACCTCATCAATAAGGCCTTCATAGGTAAGCTGTGTCAGTAAGACAGTCGGAAAGTCAACCTCTCGATCTACAATGATCAAACTGTCAATATTCGCGCTTGGTACTAGACCTAGAAACGACAGTCCAACACTATTTAGATCCTCTCCAGCTGTAACCTCTATACGCATACGAATCAGTAGATCAGCAAGACGTTTGCCATTGTCGCCCTTGCCGATGATTCTGGGAAAAAGCCCATACTTCTGTTGTTGAAGCATTAGGGCCTTTGCTGATAGGTAGATGGAAGTCGGATCCTTCTTCTACGATCTGTTAACTTTCATATGGTGACTTGATGCTCAGGACCACGGACCATATACAGATCCGACACGGAATCCTCCAACTCGAGCGAAAGTACGTCGTCGGCCAAAGGTACAAAGTACAAAGGCCATTCGCTTACACTAGCCTCACCCAGCACGCCTGCTTCTTCAAGCAGCTGATCCGAGGTCATAGTGCGTCTCGGCACCCAGAAGATGGAAAACTCATGCTCGATCGAGCTATCCCGTCGTATGCGTTTGATCTGATCTACGTATATTGTTAGCACCGTACAATAGACTGTTCCTACATGAAATATAATAGGCAATCCAATAAAAGCGCCGAATTTTGTATAGGGATCGAGACTTGACCAAGCAGAGTGGAGACTGTCTGCCTAGCATCTTTTTAAGATCCCAGATTGTGTTACGCAGTGCACATTGCAAAACGAAGTATCGTGTGGGGAGCCTTGACATACCAGCAACAGCCATCACAGTCTTTGCCTTCTCGCCTCTAACAAGGAAGACGATGTTGCGCTGGGAAAAATCGACATTGTCGTTCTCAAGAAAGAAAGGCTTGTCTACACCATATTCTTGCAGGGTAGAGAATTTGACGAGCAAGTTCAATGGACCTGCAAGCGTCTTCTCAAGGACCAGATTCTTTTTCCCTCTAATCTATACATATGCGTCAGCTAGAGTGGTACGTTGTCACGTTGACTTTACCTTACACCCTCAAGCAGGAGCAACAGATCCCGCCGCGCTTTCTCAGTTATGTCCGCCGCATTCAAAGGCGTGATAGGCGCCATCATTAACTAGAGGTGCAGAACCAGTTTCATATCCACCAAAGCATAGTGATGTCGTTTCGATACTGGAGTATGAGGTAGTCTGGGTGGTGAGCGAGAGGTTGGGCCCTACGCGTAGATCCAAGGCACGTGCGCGGTGATGTCTTGGCATTCGGATGCACTTCCAGTACATTATATCCCCTTGTACATTGAATGTATCTAGTGAGAAATCTAACAACGTCATTTAATGGATACATAATATTAAATACGTTGTGTGATGCCTTCTAAGCAGCCACTAACACAGACGCAGGCTATGGCCGATGGTGAAAACCACAGGACCTGGTGCCTTACGACTAGATACACCGAGTAGAAGTGTATACTCGTACTTCGTGTTCCAAGTGAGACATCACAAGAACAATTTGAGGTGATAAAATTTGTGAAATTGAGTCATGATTCTTCTTTTCTCGTTCGCTCTTAGTTACCTCATCAGTACATAAGAGACAATTGACCGCCAGGCATACTTTTGCAGAACATCCATTACGATCGTTTCGTCAGGCATCGTCATGAGAGAAGTACCCACAATACTTTTGCATCCTCATGAATGCCGAAGAAAAAGCCCAAAGAAACCAGTCACACCAAAAGTCTATCGTGAAATGTCGCAAAGATAGAAACTCCGATCGCAGCTCGCAGTCTCACAGTCTGGGTATACTGCGCGCCCACGCCATCCTTCCTGCTTGGTCCACCAGGCAAATACTTATTGCAGTTAGCGGGTGGAGAAAGCCTTGGTGACAACGCGCTTGAGCGCAAGCTCCTTCTTCTTCAGGTCCTCAGCGGGAGCATCCTCGATCTCGAGCTGAGCCATGGCGTCGGAGAGAGCTGATTCAATCTTCTCCTTTTGACCGCGCTTGAGGCGGATAGAGGTGGTAGGGTCTGAGACCATTTCCTCAACACGGGAGATGTATGACTCGAGCTGTTGCCTAGACTCGAACTTCTTGCTGAAGGCCTCGTCGCTGGACTTGAACTTCTGTGCGTCGTTGATCATGTTCTCGATATCAGAGGACGAGAGCTTGCCAACGGCGTTGGAGATGGTGATGTTGGCGCTGCGGCCAGAGGTCTTCTCGGTAGCAGTAACTTTGAGGATACCGTTGACGTCGACCTCGAAAACGACCTCGAGAACAGCCTCACCTGCGCGCATTGGAGGGATTGGTGCTAAGGTAAATTCTCCAAGAGATGTGTTGTCTTCGCAGTTAACACGCTCACCCTGGAAGACAGGGAATTGTACAGTTTGCTGTTAAGGTATGAAGTCAGTGTATGTCTAATGTGCGTTGCACGGGAAATTTTTACTCACTTGGTTGTCTGCGACAGTAGTGAAAGTTCTGATGCAAATGTTAGTAACTGTCAATGGTAGATGTCGAAAAGCAAATGCGGTGAAAGGAGCAAAGAGAAACAGAAAAAGCCATGAAAACTGGGTGACTCGATTGAAGTGACTCAAAAACTCGTTTTCGAGGCGTACTGAAGGCATGTAGGAAATGCCAGGTGCAGGAGGAGGGGTATATATGCAGAACGGGAATGGACAGGAGTAACAATGGAGACGTTGAGAACACTTGCCTCTTCTTGATAGTCTTTGTTGTAGGTTAGCGAAAGCCAGGTCAAAAAGCGATGGCAATACGTACAGGGACAGTCTGTCCACGGGGAACGACGGGAGCGAAAATGTTACCCTCCATAGCCACACCGAGAGAAAGGGGAACGACATCGAGAAGTAGGAGGTCAGCAGTCTCGGCGGAAGTGGCCTTGCCAGAGAGAATACCGGCTTGAACAGCAGCACCGTAAGCAACGGCTTCATCAGGGTTGATGCTCTTCTCGAGCTTTTTGCCGTTGAAGAAGTCGCTGAGGAGCTTCTGGATCTTGGGGATACGTGTGGAACCACCAACAAGCACAATCTCGTCGACCTTGCTCTTTTCAAGGCTGGCATCCTTGAGTACCTGCGCAACAGGATCCAGAGTGCCAGCAAAGGCCTTCTGGTTCAAGTCCTCGAAACGAGCACGAGTGATGTTGGCATTGAAGTCCTCACCGTCGAACAGCGAGTCGATCTCAACAGTGGTCTGGGTAGCGTTGGAGAGAGTACGCTTGGCACGCTCGCAAGCAGTTCGAAGGCGACGGAGGGCGCGGGGATCTCCGCTGATATCTGATATGTATGTTAGTTGATGATACTGTCAAAGTGTGACGATACAACAAAGCTCTTAACTAAGCGTGGAGAATACGCTATCAAGGCGTACCGATACAATAGAGCTCATAACTCAATGTAGCAACGATGGTGCCTCGAGGGTTGCTTACCTTTCTTGGTCTTCTTTGTGAACTCCTTCTTGAAATGCTCAAGAAGAGCTGTATCGAAGTCACTTCCCCCGAGATGTGTGTCACCCGCAGTAGCCTTGACAGTGAAGACACCACCTTGGATGTGAAGGAGAGAGACATCGAAGGTACCGCCACCGAGATCGTAGATGAGGACATTCCTCTCCTTGTCAGACTTGCCAGAGCCAAGACCGTAGGCGATGGCAGCGGCGGTAGGCTCGTTGATGATGCGAAGAACGTTGAGGCCAGCAATGGCACCGGCGTCCTTGGTGGCTTGACGTTGGTTGTCGTTGAAGTAGGCGGGCACAGTAATGACGGCCTTCTCGACCTTCATTCCCAGCTTGGTCTCAGCAACTTCCTTCATCTGTTGATTATGTCAGTAGTTGCCCCACCAAGTTAAGTCGCAAATAAAATTGTACCTTGACAAGGACCATAGCAGAGATTTCCTGAGGGGAGAATTGCTTGCGCTCGCCGAGGTACTCAACCTCGACAAGAGGACTGCCACCCTGGTCAACGACCTTGAATGGCCACGACTTGATGTCCTTTGTGACGGTCTCATCCTCGAATCGGCGACCGATCAATCGCCTAGAAAGGTCAGCGAACTGCGGTCTTTTCCTGATAAACTGGCGAAGAACTCACTTGACATCGAAGACAGTGTTCTCGGGGTTCATAGCAGCCTGGTTCTTGGCCGCCTCTCCGATCAAGCGCTCCTCGCTGGTGAACGAGACGAACGAGGGAGTGGTAAAGCTACCCTGTTCGTTGGCGACTGTGGTCATGATGGTTAGAGGACATACACAGTGAATAAAAGCTAGGCGGGCGCATACTGATCTCGACATTGGTGCCCTCGTAGTTGGCGACGCAAGAGTAGGTCGTGCCTGCCGAATAATTAGCAAGGCGCACTGTGGGGTAACGATATTCAAAGATATCACTGACCAAGATCGATGCCAATGGCACCCTCGTAGACTTCGTCGCTCATGATGGATATGGGTTTGTGAGAGACTGGCGAGAGGTTGAGGAGTGTAAAAATCTTGGGGACCCGCGTGTGATAAAAGAGGGTGTTTCCTAGCGTGTGTTCGTTCGTCGAAATTGAAATTTCTCGCCCGCCATGGGTGCTGCCCGCCCACCAAGGTGGTCCGTGTACCCTAACCGAGGCGTGGTGGCGCTATTTTCTTCACACCTACTCAAGCACCGGGTAGGACGAGTACACAAGCTCTACTTTAGAACGGCAATGACTGGTATTCCGCTATCATTAAATCTTGACTGTGATTCCGACCGTCCTGGAGATATACCGGAAGATTTGTGAAACCCATCAAGGAGGTTCCTACTGATCTGTGAGCAGTCAAAATTGCAACAAAGGGCTCGGTCATCTGGACAAGTTACAACACGACATATCGCGTCGGCTCTTCATGAATATACTCTGGGGAGACAGTGTCAGGAATTTTCTTTGGTGCCATTTCTATTCTTGTGCATATTACATGTAATCTCAAACATCATGTTTAGTCAGAGTATGCGCAATTTCACAACACTGATTTCCAAAAGTCCGACAAGACGTGCGCCAAACAAGACATCAGGCAATGAACACATAGCACCAGCAAGTTGGTAGAGATACATTAGATTTGCACTCTCTATCACTCCGCAAAAGGATGTAGCAAAGGCTCTACCACCTGCCAAAGTATCGCAGCTATTGTAAACGCCGATCGGTATCATGCCTCTTTTCCCAAAAACAAACGCCGTCACTTAAACGCCTTATGCCATGCCAAACGTATGATGCATTTAACGCACACCTTGCCCTGCCCACCAAGTAGCCCTGTGGCCTTTCAAACCGTCTCGTCATGAAACACAAAGTTGATATCCCTGGGCCGCTGGGTGTTGTACCTCACAAAGTTATCGTCGCCCTGGGGCCTCTCCTTCTTCGTGTTGCTTGTAAGCATGCTCTGCAGGCTGACACATACGCTCTCAACGTTATGAACAGGTGACCATCCTGAACGGTCGAGCAGATCCAGACAGATGATACCATTGGAGTAGATATGCGGGTGCCAGGGAATGGGATGTTCGGCGTCCTTGACGAAGGTGACTTCTGGGGCCTTGAGAAAAGACGATCAAGTTAGCAGTGAGTTTTGGAGGTTTGAATATGAGTCTGCGTACTTCGATAGGGTATGAGTCGCTGAAGACAAACTTGAGTCGATATGTTTCTCCGGCATAGAGCGGGTTATTGTCCATGACCTGAATGTCCACGAGCCAGGTCTTGAAGTCTTCGGCTTGGATGAGGGTAATGCCAGGTGGTAGCTTGTCGTGCATCTGATGTGAGAGTCAGCAGGCTACACATAACCCAAGCGCAGTGTGAATGACCTTCTGGAGCTCCTAAAGGCATTTGTTAGTGTTGTACATCTTCAAAGGTCTGCAAGCATGCGCTCAAAGTTAAGGTGCGAGCGCATGCAGCTGTCACACACCTTCCCTAGTCTCTTGGACGCGAACATGGCGGCAGCCGTTTTCGAAGTACTGCTTGCTATTTCGTGGTAATAGTATGCGGTGCACCGTAGAGTGAGCGCGAGATTAGCCAAACCTGATAGTCGCCCAGAGAGCTTGGGCAGGGTCTCTGGTCGTGAAAGCGCGGGGGCGGGGCAGTGGATCTAGGAACTGGCAGCCTAGCCACGTCGAAAGTACAAATCGGGCAGATATCGGTGATGCAGGACATTATTCGTATACATTTTGCAGAGGAATGGCGGTATCAGTTGTTTGAAAAGACAATCACTATTTTCAGATGACATGCTTGCAAGACCTCCGTCCAGAGCAACCTTGAATGGAGTGCCACTGGAGTTTCTCACACGTGATGACATTCCACTCATCTTCATAGCACAAGTCATAGTAACAAGTAGAATGGAGGTATATTGAAAATGCCAATATCATAAAACGCCTTGCGCCAAACCGTAGCTTTTCCCAGCCAACATGGTTCGTAAAGGAAATCTGCTGGCTATACTGCCGCATCACAACTAAACCTACCAATGTAACGCCATTCGCGATATACATGAATGAAGACAGAATTATGTTGCACCAAAAACTAAGAGTAGAATGCACCCTTCTGGAAGCTTTCAACGCCCATATCGCCGGCCTTGCTGTCAATCTTGGGGCCAACCTTCTCAGGCACCTTCGCCTCGGTCATAGTTCCAGTCCTGCTTGCCAGTGTGCTGCTCGTCATCGTCTGTGTTCGGCTGACAGCTGGGCTTCCACTCTGGCTCCCGCTGGTAATCTGTGCGGGCTGCTTTCGTTGGATAGGTTCCAGGTAGATACCAGGGAGGTATCCCATCCTTCCATCTCTCGAACGGCACTTCCACCACTCCGAAGCATTGCCCATTGGGTCGCTCTTGCTCAACACAGCGACCATGTCGCCCTTCTTTACAGACAAGTCCATTCCCTGCATGTTGGAGTTTGGCGTGAAGTCGTACAGCGCACGGCAGAACTCTAGTTTATTGGGGTCTAGGGGCTGGCCCGCGTGCGGGTTTTCGAGCATCTTCCGTTGCTCTTCCGCTTCTTGTGATCGTGCAAGTGATTTGATGAGCTTGCCCATGAGGTATGGCAGACCGAAGACTGCGAGCATGAAGACAATGAAAGGTTTTTTTGATGGTTTAGCAGGGGCTGACGAGCCATCTGGCAGCCGTCCATTGAAAGCAGCAAAGCTCGCGGGTGTTAGGGCCGTTGCGTCGGCTGGTAGTGGTCGGCCAGTAAGTTTCGCAATGGCTGTTCGTATCCACCGCATAACTGTGTAGATACCGAGAACTGAACCGAGCGTTTGCCGTAGGTTTCCGAATTGCTCTGCTACTGATACCATGGCTGGTTCATGTTAGTGCTGTACACGCGCAATCCGTGCTGGTGACATACCGAAGAAAGATGAATGCGTCGCCATATAGGTGCTTTGCAGCATCTGCGCGAATCCTCCAAACGCGCCAACAATGTTCTCAATCAGCTGGAATGTTGCCGCAGTGCTTTGACTGAAAGACTGTGTTAAGCTGTTGTTGGGGTCGCCTGGCATGCCGCCCATGCCGCCCATGCCCCCATACATGCCACCCATCCCCATACCGCCCATGCCACCATACATACCGCCCATACCACCGTACATGGAACCATAACCACCGCCCATGGTGGAGTATGGCGAGCTGTAACTGCTCATACCACCATAGCCACCGCCGTAGGGCGAGGAATACCGGTTGTTCATGTTCGAGTAGTTGGACGCGTTGCGATTTGCGACCGTCGTCAGCGAATCGGGCACTGATGGCAAGGGCGGCGCAGTGGAAGATGTGGATGACGAGGTTGTGCTGGTGGACGAGCCGGTAAGTCCTGCGCGGGTGTTAGTCGTGTTTGTCTGTGATGATTCCAGATCACGGGGAACTGACCAACCGAGGCACTCGTCGCACCTCCGCTCGTCTCCCAAGGCTTTGGCGGCGATGAAGAAGACATGAGTGAGCTTATGCCGCCTCAGCGCACCGTGTTGTCGACTTTTGCGTGCCTGTCAAAGATTTGCTATGGAGTTGTGAGTGTGAGGTTTGGGCGATGTCAAAGAGCCGGCTAACGCTGCACGGGCGATCGATGGCGGCGAAGTCTGCGGGGGCCACCCGGATGCCAGTCGTTGGATGGGCGGATCCGCTTCAACAGCCAGGAAGTAGAGTAAATGGTGGGTAGGTATGTAGTAAATGTTGCACGGGCAATCCCACGCGCGTCTTTGATGGGCCGTTTGGGGAGTGGGCGACGAGGAACTAGATGGAAAAGCGATGAGTGTGAGATGCGCGCGCAATGTCAATCTTGGACGGTTGAGGTGCGGCTGTTCATGTTCAGAATCATACCTCGGTCTCTCTCTTTCTTTTGCGCCCTTTGGGGCAACGGGCTACCGGTACCCGGCGCAATCACAAGCCAACCACCTCGAGTCATGTCGCCACCGCCGACCTCCGTGCAAGCCAGTCCGTACTCTACCTGGTGGGGCTTCTGCAACACGCAATGACCTACTGATATCACAGGCTGCTATTGATGCTGAAGATGTGATCAAAGTTACGTAGGTATATCAAGTCTATATTCCGTAGGTGACAGCAACAGCCAACATGTACTTCTACATGGTGAAATCACGCCTCCTCGATGACCTACCGTTACAGTGCTTGACATCGCCGAATCAGTCTCCAATAGGGAACAACGAATGCACCCAGCTGTTCGGATCATACTGCACCAACCTTTGCACCAGTGCATCCGATAGTCTTTCCCCAAAATCAAAACTGTCGTCCAATACCATCGCTGTGATATGAGGATAATGCCAGACCACTGCGAACTTCATCGTTGCCCCCACAGGTCTCTTGAAGTAGTTCGAGTCACCTCCTTCAAGATTCCCCTGGCGATGTAATGTAGACTTGGCTCGTTCTTCGCCGTTCCCGAGGACCTCAAAGGCGTCGAACTCGCCGCAGCCGGTCGACCAACATGAACAAGGCACGTTGTTGCGGTCATTACCGTATTGCAGGATACGTGGGATGGCGGCGTTGAGGAACCAGTATGCTGGTGCGTCCGAGATGAGTCCTTGGTCAGTGCCCTGATTTGGGTAGTGGTCCATTTGAAATTCGATCAAAAAGGCTTTGGATGAACCTGACCAACCGTCTACATGTGGTCAGTATCGAGTCACGAAGATGGCGAGTAAGACGGAGAGGTTGTACAGTGAGATGTGGCGTCTGGCCTCCAGTAGGGACAGTCCTGATCGCATCCTTTGTCTGACATGACGACTATCTCGCGTTCAGAGGTGTCCAACGTGCCATCAAATGGAAGACTTTCAGAGGCGACCTGGCCGCCGTTTGGCATCACGTAGCCCAGTGAGTTTCCGAAAGCACTGTCCGATATTAGCACTATACTCACCAGAAACTACGAAGCCCGTACTAGTCAAATGTGCCGGACTGCTCCGGGTCACCTAAGTTGGCAAGGAACGACAGTCCTGTTGCTTGAGCCGCTGCAGCTGAATTATAGTATGCGACCCGGCTCCAATCGGGAGGACTTTCAGCTCTAGGAAATTCATCTCTTCTGGCCACCTCATCTGCCTGCGCCACTGGTGCTGGCATCAAGGCAGGGAGAAGTGTAGGCTGCCATCTATCTGATCTTGTGACCGAAGGAGTGCTGTTGCAGCCACAATCTGACTTTGGTGCAGAAAGGATGGAATTAGAGGGTAACGGTGCCGAGGTATGCAGACAGGGTAATGGAGGACCGATATACGTAATGTCATCCGTGGGTTCCATTGTAGTGGGTGTTGTGCAATCTGTTATAGTGACAGTCGAGGTAACGGTCAGCTGGCTGCAGCTTGTTGTCTCACATCTTTGTCTGAACGCTGGGAACCAACGAGCTTTTGTTGTCTGGGTCGGTTGCTTGATCGTGCTTGCACTGTGTTGTGAAGCATCTCGCTGTTTTAGAGTTCGCCGACGGTTATAGAAAGGTATGGTGCTTCTCCTGTCCAACGAGTGCATCTCACTGGGTAGTTGATATACTGCCAATTGCGAGACGTTCATGGGTCCACGCAGATGCATAGATACCTAAGGGTGTTGTCAGCCTTGGTGGCAGTACAGCTGCATGCACCATACTTCTCCAAAAAGTGGAGTATGTGGCCCTGTGCTAGAATAGTCTTGACGGGCATGACTGCAAAGCCCTGTGCGCGGATCGATGGAGGTCGTACGATTGTAGGCACCGGGTTGGCTGATGTTGTGGTAGGTGATGGCCTCTACTTCGGAGCAATACCAATTGCCATCCTCGGACAGTACAGCAGTACCAGAACAAAGCTGGCTTGACGTCTTGCTGTACGTGAATGGTAGGAAGATGGCTGAGATGAGTATAGAATGTCTCATGGTGTATGTTTGGCATAGAAGCTGATGCAAAAGCGATTTTGGTTGTATTATTCAAGGGCGGCAGGGTGTGTTAATGGATCAGGTCGTTGGGCGATTGTGAATTCCATTGTAAGGCAGAGGCAAAGGCAAGAGCTACGAGAAAGGCCAGGAGGCAAGCACATGGTCAGAAGTGAGTGTTGAAGAAGGCACAAAGGTTGTATTGTCTAAGCGAGCATAAAGCACCTGCCGGGAGAACCATCACATAAATGAGCAGAGTTCTTGTAGCCATTGACTGCGATGGGCAGCTCCGTTCATCTGCTGCAAGTCAGTCAGGGTTCAGCTTGATGAGTTGAACTGAAAGGACAGTAATTGCGCAACATATCAGAAGAGTCCGTTGAATGCATCGACACCAAGAAGGCGTCTAAAATAAGAGGTACCAGAAAATAAGTATATGGAAATGTTCATCCTTGTGCGATGAGGGAGAGAATGGGTAACGCATGCGTGAACGTACCTGGGTGAAGAGCTATCTGGCGATGAGAAGCTGCCCCCAAAAAAATATCCAGTTGCGTTAGTCAGGCCAACAGTGTCATTCCATAACGAAGGGTAGTTGTTGTTGCGCGGCCAAGTCACATTCGGTGAGTAGAGCTGGCTGATTGTTTGCTGTGAGGTCGCGTTGCTCTCGAAGACTTTTTATTGAAGCTCGAGGCGCTACGTCGCCAAGAGGTCCAAGCGTTTTAAGCGACCACAGCAATTGTGGTCGAGCGAAAATCGATCACGAACTTGAAGTCTTCAGCCCACCACTCACTTCCGTACTAATCGACCAGGTCGCCGTCCGGTAAAATCATCCAACATGGGTCGTCTTCACAGCAACGGAAAGGGTATATCAGCTTCGGCCATCCCCTACTCCCGCAACCCACCTGCGTGGTTGAAGACAACTCCCGAGCAGGTTGTCGAGCAGATCTGCAAGCTCGCAAAGAAGGGCGCCACTCCCTCCCAGTAAGGACGATTGCGCTGGAAGAAGGAAGGCAGATGTACTGACGGAATTGCAGGATTGGTGAGATCCTCCGTGACTCTCACGGTATCGCCCAGGTCAAGGGTACGTTTTGCGCAACTTCAGAATTCCTATTGGGCTAGATACTGACATGTCGTAGTCGTCACCGGAAACAAGATCCTCCGCATCCTCAAGTCTTCCGGTATGGTTGCCTGTCCCAGTTGAAGCGCAAGTCAACAGCAGTTCTGCCTCGGTGCATCTGCCGCGCTATATAAACTTGCCTCTGTTGGTTCAAAGCTGACAGGGTGCCATTAGGCCTCGCCCCCGAGATCCCAGAGGACCTTTACATGCTCATCAAGAAGGCTGTCGCCGTCCGCAAGCACTTGAGCGTCAACCGCAAGGACCGTGACTCCAAGTTGTACGTTTTCGCAGCGTTGGTTCACCCGTTCTGTACTGACTCAATTAGCCGCCTCATTCTCATCGAGTCCCGTATCCACCGCCTATCCCGCTACTACAAGTCCGTCGGTGTCCTCCCTCCCACCTGGAGGTACGAGAGCGCCACTGCCTCCACTCTCGTCGCATAAGCGGTGGTTGGTTGGTCGCGTGGTTATCATGCAGGTAGACATTTAAGTGGAGTTCCATGGGCATAGATGCTTTAAGGATACCCAGCAGGGTCATGATCTGAAATGAATCAAAAGCATCATCTCTGAATTGAATACATATCAACGTGCCATGCTTTCTCTGATTCTTAACATGATTTGTTGCACTTCGGGTATCTCTTGACCTTAACACCTAGTGGCCCATTGCTTTTGAACGCCAGCACACTTCTTCATTGGAGTCCCGCCGAAGTTTTCTACCACTCCTTTGTATGATATCTAGCCATATCCCCATATTACGTCCCCATGTTCCCGCTGGCATGCGAAACCTCGACAGAACCGTAGAACGCGCATTCATGACTCTACCTCTCTCCTCCCCGCATGTACTTTCCCATCTCCACCATCCCCCCACTTCACTTCTCAAGGTCCCTCAATCTCCAGACTCTTTTGCGCCAAAAACTCACTCAACCACTTCAACGGCTTATCCGGCTCGGCAGTCGCCAAATGCTTCATCGCCTCGAGCAGATGCGGCGTCACATTTTGATTCAGGTAGACGCGTGTCGGACTGCCGTGGGGAATGGGTTGCGTGGGTGCGGTTTGCGCGGCTGTGCTGGGGTGCGGCGAATTGCGCGATGAGGCTGGGGCAGCGAGGGTGTGTGCGGGTGTGGGTGCTGAGGAGGGGGCCGAGGGTTGGGTTGCGAGGGTTGCTGTTGTTGTGGTGGTGTTGGTAGTTGGTGCTGGTGCTGGTACTGCTGCTGGTGCTGGTGCCGGTGCTGGTGCGGTAGAGGCTTGAAGGTCTGATGCGGTGGTTGTTGGGGCTGTTGTTGAGGTGGGTTCGGTGGGAGGTTGTGGCTAATTTTAATGGTGTTAATTTTGTGTTTGGGTGTTAGGGGGATTGAGTTTGAGGTCAAGATTGATCAAGGGGGCGTGTATATACCTCTGGTTGAGCAATTGAGTCTGTCATTTCTACATCTGTATGTTCGGTGTGGCCGTTTGTTTGGGGAGTTTGTTGTGTTTCCGGGGCGTGAAGCGTAGGGTCTTGGTTGAGTTCGGCCATTGTAATGGATGTGGGTGGGAGCTTGAGAGTGTTCTTGGTTCGGAGAGGCGCGTAGAGGGATCGATGTCGTTATGGTAAGGGAGGTTGTTGTGAGTTTGAGTGGTAGTCAAGTTGGGTCGACTGTGAGAGCTTCGACCCGTACTTGATGCTCGGCGATTGGGCGGAGATGGCCCATCGGTTCGGACTTCGCACTCCGCGTTAAGATCCTCCTGCGACATAGTCGTTGAAGTTGCCCACGACGTCGCAATGGGTTTTGCAATGGAATTCTAATTAGCTTACGAGTGAAATAAGTTGATTCGATAGCCCATACTGATTGTGATGGAGCTTGTCAGTGGCGCCACAACAGGACATGGAATATCAGAGTGCTCATACTCAAGGTCTATTCAAAACGTCATGTTTCATTTGACAGTGCATGAAATGTGGAAGGACCTGTTGAAGGCGTATAGTAAACAAGGAGATAAAATTTAGGTCATCTAATGTACAAAGTCGTGTCATGACAAATGCAGCAGTAGGTATGAAGCGAAAGGAAAGTGAAGGAAAAACCATCATTAACGCCGCATCATGGGAGCAGTCTTGCTCCATCATCGTTCATCGTCAAACAAAACTCTGTCGTTACACATGCCCATCCTTCATTCATATTCTTCATACTCGGAATTCGACCGTCGCTATGCTCGCATCAACTGCATTAAAAGCACGCCGGTAATGCCATGCAACCACGGGTTCTACCAGATCATGAGAGGGTATCTTTCGACCCAACTACTCGAAACGCTGCCAAACAACTGTTGTAGGAGGATTCGCCTCCTCACTCACTCGACTCTGGCTGTTGGTATCCCAGGTGCCATTGTCCGATAGAATGAAGCTCTCGCTCTTTTCTCTCCTCAATTCCTTGGTATCCCTAGTTGAATCTCTGGTAGACTCCTTTGCCGAGTCCCTACTGTCACGATCCCTCCTTTTCTCGCTCTTCACGGAACCTTTGGATGCCACATCGGCGCTTCTTCCAGCCAATGGGCCATCTGGGTACAGCGCCTTGACAGCGGCACTGCGACTCTCGCACAGATAGTGAGACTTGGGACGTCCACTCTTACTGGACTTCTCTGACTTTGAGGTTCTCTCCGTCCGGTCAGTGTCGCCTGATTTCGTCGATCGATGACTGGGTGTGTAGGTGCTGCCTCGGCGTTTAATCTCGGAGCCCTCTGGGTTGATGTCAGGCAGTTCTCCATCCTTACCAATGTCTACAGAGCGGCGAGTGAGTGTGGAGCGCCGTCTGGAAGACGCAGTTGTTGGACGGCTACTGCGGCGAGATTGGAGATCATCAATCTCATCGACTGCCTCAAGGAGAGGGGAGATGGTGCGCTCAGGGGAGCTCGAACGAGACTCAGGAGGTGTCGGCAATTCCCAGGTGTCGGGTCCATCCAGTGTCGATTGAGCATCAAAAGTAGACTCTGAATATGACTCTGGGAGAACAGCGCTTTCCATGGGCGACGGCTCAGGGAACGTCTCTTGAGATGTCTCTGGCGGCGGTGGAGGAGGAGGATATGTAGGCGCAGCCTTTCGCGACCTCTGAGAGTATGGCGAAGATGACCCTAGTAGAGGTATTGAAGTCCTCGAAAACGAGCTCGGTGGATGCGAATTAGCCAGACTTTCGACTGGTGGCAAAACACCGATGAGGTTTCGCGGGCTAGCGAAATCACTCGGGGCCGGAGGTGGACGCTTGTAAGCTGTCACCGGCTTGTATGGTGTCGTATCATCAAAAGATGGTATGGAAGACGGAGGCGGTGGAGGAGTCGACTTCTTCCTTCGATAAGTCTTTTCAGGCTTCTCTGGCGAAGGGGGTGGCGACTTGGATCCCGCCAACAATGACCCTATTTCAGACGCCTCGATCGCGCTTTCGGGAACGGAGCGACGAAGTGCGGGAGGGGAAGGTAAAGGCTCGCGTGGCGGGGGGCATGCCGGCGGCGGAAACTTGCCTTGTTCAGCACTCGGACTCGTCGTAACAGTGGTGTAGGGCGGCAAACCAGCAGATTTAAGCTCCTCGGTCCTCGTGACCACGGCATCTGCATCACTATACAGTGCCAATCCATGATGGAATATGCAACCTTTATCACGCTCTTCCCCATCTCGATGGAAGTTTTCGTGCTTTGGCTCACGATAAATGACTGGGAAAAGCCTCAGTAGGAGTTGAGGCTGCTCGTTAGACTGGGGCGCGACGCCAACTAAGGACCCTATCAGTGTACCTTCCGGTCTGTCGCCTTCAGGTTTATAGGTAGGCCAGTACTCTGGCCCTGTAAAGGAGTGTTCCTGGTCTTCCAATGCAGGCATGACAGCTGTGATCATCTCGCGCTCAAGACGTGCGAAACGCCATGTCTCAGCAGCCACCTTGACGATTCGCTTTACCGCAAGTTTGATGCCCTCTTCCTCTTTCGGATCGGCAAAATGTTTAATAGCGTTCACGATTTCCTCGACAACGGTACCAGCCGCAGTGTTGATGCGTTGCTTGGCCCCACTACTAGTGAAAGCAGCGAGCAATGTCTGCTGGCGCCATATCGCCTCCTTGCGAGTGCTCTTTGCGCGAATATGGGTGCTCATCGATGAGAACAAAGAATCCGCTTTGTCGTACCGAGTTCCTAGGCTGAACAAGAAGGGACCAAAGACACGATAGGTGATCAGTTTGGAAATCGTGTGCGCTATATAAGCAGCCCGAACTTGTCTAGAATCGCAAAGTGTCAGTGGATGATATCGACGTAAGAAGCTGACTTACCTAGACGCTGCAGTATCTCCAAGGAAGGACGGAAGGTTTGATGGAACTTGCGCAAGATCTTCGGCAGGAGGTCGTACGGGGAGATGCATGAAGTGAGTTGAGGCAAGATCGATGATCTGCTTTTGGAGCTGAGAGAACGAGACTAGACTGCACACGACGGTCAGACAGGGATTTAAGATGCGAGCAAAACAACGTAGGGTGGGCAAGAGAAGAGCAAATATTGTATTACGGTGGAGCAGACGCTACAGATGGTGTATAGAGACATGAGTTGTGCTCCAATTGAGCTTCCAGAAATCCATGCTACAAAGATAGGGCTGTACAACTTCAGCATGCTTTACTGTTCCCAAGGAAACTGCAAGAGACATCGAAGGTACCCAGCCTTATCCTTGATAGCATGGCTCTACTGTTACCTTCGCTCTCTGTGCGGTCTGCTACCACCGGGACAACATTGTAAAAGCTGCACACGAATTGACTTACTAGTATGAATCACCCTTACTCTTGATTTCCGCAATATCCCCATAACACTCCATGAGCTTCTCGAGGCGGGACTTCTCCGACTCAATATTCATGGCAACACTCCTGATGACATCCCTCTCTTTCTTACTCTCTTCTTTCAGCGCATTGAAGCGCGTCATCAGTTCCTCATTCTCTCTAGCCAGCTGATCAGCTCGGGCCCTCTCCTCATCAGCCTTCTTGATAGCATCGGCGTGGAGTGCGGTCCAAGCAGCATCAGACTCATCTTTGGCCTTCTGGTACTGAAGCTCCAGAAGATCGCGCTGCTCTTGCCAGGCCTTCTGGAGACTTTCGCGGTCCTCCAGGTGAGCCCTGGTAAGATGTTCGCGCTCAGCGATCCAGACTTCTTGACTTTGACGCTCATGCTCGATAGCTTGTTCGCGATCGATTTGAGCAACAGCCAGCTTATGCTCAAGCTCAGCGCGAACCTGCTCAAGCATAGCTTCATGGTCGCGCAGTTGCCTTTGATGCTCAGCTTGCAGCTCCTCCTTCTCTTGCATAAACACTGCGGCAGCCTCCTGTCGTTGGTTCTCTGCGATGATGTCCGCCTCCTTCAGCTTCTTGTCGAACTGAATAGCGAGGGCGATTTTCTCGGCATCGTTCTTGGTGTTTGTAGTCGACTTCCAGTCTTCAAACTCCTTCCAAGCCTTTGCATGAGCATCTTCCAGCTCCTTGTACTTGGCCTCCCAAGACTTCATTGCTGCGTTTTGCACTTTCCTGGTGTCTTGAACCTCCCTTTCTGTTTTGTATTTTAGCTCACGTAGTTCCTTGACTTGCTCTCTTAGATTATCAATCTGGAATCGAAGCTGAGCTACCTCAGCAGAGTGCTTGCGATCGAAGTTGTCAATCTCGTCCTTCAAGTCCTCGATCTCCTCATCCTTTGCTCTTATCTTGGCTTCCTGTTCTACGCTTGCTCGGCGGAGTAAGTCTTCTCTCACACTTAGCTGACTGTGTGTCTCTTTGTACTTGGCCAGCAAAACATGCAAGTCAGGGATGGCCTGCGCGATGCGTGAAAAGACGTCACCAGAATCTTCGTCTGTAGATACGTTTTCTATAGCATGCACAGGATAGTCCCTTGAGCCTGAGGAATCATGTCGCTGAGGTGGACTGCCATAAGGAGGATACCCCGGTGGGTACTGGTTCCACGACTCTTGGTAGGGAGAGGAGGAAGAGTGTGAGGAGGGGCCATAAGGATGATGATTTGGATAGCCCGGCTGACTCATGCCAGGGCCAGGATTCTGGTAGTATGGTGGGGCTGGCGGTGCATAGTATCTGGGATGATAGCCTGGAGGAGGCGGTGGAGGGTTGGCGTATGACGGGTCTACGGGCACTCGCGAGGCGAACCCGCCACGATGCGCTGGCGTAGACCCCAAAGTGGGTCCACGCGAAGTGTCATGCGGCTCACCGCCTCGAAACTGTCGCCTAGACCGGATTAGAGCTGAGTCCGACTCGTCTTCAGACTCGAATATCGAATTTTGCCTGGAAGAGATTTCAATGTCAGTCAAGCATTCACTGTGGCTAGCAGAGTGTATGAAGCCTGATGGAGGGGAGGGGGTCACGAGCCTGCTGAGCGTACTCGTGGGTGTAATGGCTTACTGAGGGGGAGGGGGTCTTGGCGATGCGAACATCGTCGGAATATTGTGGAAAACGTTATTGCGTAATGACATACCTAAGATGTGCTCTGCCCATTGGTGGGCTTGGAACGGGCGGCCTGTTGTTTTCTATCAGTTGGGTGACGGCCTGCGGCCTCGGTGCGTGAATCGGATCTGAATCCCGTGATCTTCGTTTCGGCGCTTCACCCCTCCTGGAATGAGGCGATTCTAGGTTCCGGTTTGAAAACCTCGGGTCTGACCAGGAAGGAGGTGGACTGGCTACTGCAGGTGGTGCTGGAATGCTTGCTGGCTGCATTGCTCCATCGACCACCTCAGCACCTCGCAGGGGTTGCGGTGAAAGTACACGAGCTGATTCGCGTGCCTTGATATCTGGAACAGCGTTCGCGTGGGTCTTCTGCATGTCTCCTATCGCCGTGTTTGAAGCATTGGGAGATGATATAGACTCCAAGTCTGCTCTTCCAACAGTATGTTTTGTGTCATCATTTGCAGCCAGAGTGGGCGGTTCACGCAAGGCCTCTTCTGCAGCAATCCGGGCCGCCTCAGCCTCTTCAGCTTCCTTGATCGCCTTCTTCGCAGCCTCCAGAGCAGTTCGCGCTTCGGCTTCGAGTCTTTCTTGCTCAGAAATTTGATCGACTGTGTGCTTGTCCTCCCCAGCAGCTGTCTTGACTATTTCTTCTTGACCTTCGGGTAGTCCTTCCTCTTCCCCAGCTACAACGTTATCATTCTGCCCGTTCTGTGGCTCCTTTTCAGACTCTTGGTTTTCGAAGTCTTCACGGCGCTTTGCCTCTTCGGCTTCGATTGCTTTCTGGGCTTCAGCAATGGCCTCAGTAGCCCTCCTGATCTCTTCTTCCTCGGCAAGCTTCTGTTCCTGATCTTTTCTATCCTGCTTCTCTCGCTCGATGTTCTCGTGCTCAGCTCGTGCAAGCTCAGCGTCTTCTTTTGTTTCTCTTTCTTGCACTTCCGTCTGTTCAGCAGCTTCTTCCGTAGGTTGATCTGCATCTGCAGCAACTGCTTCTCGAGTCTCTGGAGTCTCAAGAACTACAGTAGCGTCTCCTACCCTAGGGCTCTCTGGTTCTTGAGAAGCTGCCTGTACTTCAGGAACCTCTGGTACTTCAGGAACCTCTGGAGCTTCAGGAACCTCTGGAGCTTCTGGAACCTCTGGAGCTTCTGGAACCTCTGGAGCTTCTGGAACCTCTGGAGCTTCTGGAACCTCTGGTACTTCAGGAACCTCTGGTACTTCAGGGGCCTCTGGTACTTCAGGAACCTCTGGAGCTTCAGGAACCTCTGGAGCTTCTGTTGCTTCTGTTGCTTCTGTTGCTTCTGGTGCTTCTGGTGCTTCTGGTGCTTCTGGTGCTTCTGGTGCTTCTGTTGCTTCTGTTGCTTCTGGTGCTTCTGGTGCTTCTGGTGCTTCTGGTGCTTCTGGAACTTCTAGTGCTTCTGGAACTTCTAGTGCTTCTGGAACTTCTAGTGCTTCTAGGACTTCTGGTGCTTCTGGAACTTCTAGTGCTTCTAGGACTTCTGGTGCTTCTAGTACCTCTGTTTCTAAAGGAGCTATTGGTGCTTCAGGAACCTCTGATGCTGTGTTGATGGTAGGATCTGCGTCTGGAACTAGGGCCGGCTCGCTGCTTAGTGTTGCTAGGGGTATCGATTTGTCGTTTTCTGTCTGTGGTTCCATTTTCGATGGTGGGCCGTTTCCCATTGAACTCACAGGCTGTTCAATGACAGGGGCTGGTACCAAATCGTTGACGTCTTCTTGTGTGAGAATCTCCGGTGGGTTGTCAGATGGTGATTCTGTCCCTGGAGGGGTTTCTTGTGGTTGTTGAGTTGATTCGTCCGTCAGTTGGATTACTGGATTGGTGTCTTCGACTTGAACTTCGCTATGTTCAATTGGCTGCAGACTTGAATCTTCCTGATTCACCACTGGTTGCCCTTCGCTCGGAGGTGGCTCGACGTCGGCCGCAACTATTGCGTTATTGGCCGACAGCTGTTCGCTTGGATCCGTCAGAAGGGCCTCCGGATCCTCAGCAGGTGCAGAAGTGGGTACTTCTTCCACAGGTTCGAGAACCACTGGCTTGGCAACCTCCGCCTCAAGTGGATATGTCCGTTGCTCGGTCTGTGATGGTTCTTCGGAGGGTATCTCTGCGGCTTGTGCGTCTAATGGCGCTTGGGCCTCGTCCGCAACAGTTGTTGGCGCTTCTGCTGTCAATGATATGCCTTCAGGCTCGTCTGAGAGGGGCTCTGCAGGTGGTGGCAATGGTGCGCTGTCAGGTGGAGCGGTCGTCTCTTCCACCTGCTTGGATGACTTCTTGCCGTTCTTCTTTGCCATGATGGCACCGTGATAGATCGTCGTATAAATGTGCAAAGACAGTCACGAGCGAGCAGACGATTTGTGTGCTCTCACAACAAAACCGAACAATCACGAAGTTGAGGCTAGGCGCCTGCTTGCGTGGCACGACAACGATGGAACATGTCAAAAAGTGATGAACACGCGCATAAAGACCTATATAGGGTGTACTGTAACGCCAGGCCTCGTGAACGAGCAGGGCTCCGATTGTGATGCAAGCGTGGCCAATGGGAGAGCGGCAGGAAGGTTGCCAGCTCATCGAAGAACGAGGCTACCAGTCTATGCGCCCCAATTGAAACGCCGTCGGCCTTACAGCACAATCTGATGTGCACGTGGAGTATATCTAGTTGCAGAGAGTCGCTTCATTTCGTGCTCTGCTCTGCCACGAAGGTAGCCAGGCACGGAGCAGTATCAAGGAGATATAGACAAAATAACATATGAAACGCTCACGAGTAGATAGAAGCAGAAACTACGTACCGCAGCGCTGGCAATTTGCAGTGTGCATGGTGGAAAAATTTGGCTCGTATGCACCAAGTTGCTGGTGCGCATGTGTGTTATGCGCTGGTTGGCCCATCGGAAGGCGACGTCAGACGCATGCAAAGCACATACAGATCAGCCACCTAGAGTAGAAGCGTATAAGCACACCCGGCAGCCCGCAGCCTCAAGCGGGAAGGCCAAGCGATGATGCAGCGGTGTGGGTGGAGCGTTTGGGGGGGGGGGGGGGGTTTGGAGGAAAAGGGGACCAAGGGGTTCTGAAGGCCCGGACGACGGGGGGTAGTACAGGAGTTATTGAGGGGTTCAGACTGGCCCCGAAAGCGATGTTCAATTGGGTGTCGAAAGCCTTGACGTGAAGTGGGGAGTGGTGAGTGTTGAGTGTTGAGTGGTAGATAGGGAGTATGAACGGGTGAGTAGTGAATGGTGAGTGATGAAAGGAGATAGGTCGGTGGTTGGGGCTACAGAGAGTAGTTAGGCGTGTGCGCGAAGAAGATGTTAACCATGTTCGGCTAGGTAACTTACAGAATTAGCGCCATCACGTCCCGTTTTATTTCTCCGCTTCCGACGCGACCACCACTTGCTCATCTATACTACATAGTACACCCCCTGCTCTTTCGATCCTGTCGTCACCGGCCTGGCAATGGCACGAAAATGTCATCTTGCATTGCCGCTGTAGTAGGAGGAGTAGTAGCAGTAGTCCTCTCTTCCGTGCCATTGAGCCATTCAAGGCGGCATGGTCAAGCCGCGAGCAGCCCGCAAGCAGCCCGTCGTGCTTTCATCCGATTCTGAGCAGGAGGATGATGAATCACACTCACCGCCTCGCACGCGACCCAAGAGGGGCACACTAACCGCCACCTCCAATGAGCCGCGTGGAGACAGCCGTAGACAGGCACAGGCACAGGCACAGGCACGCCGTGCAGCATCGCCCCAGTCGCGGAAGGCTGCTCCGAAGAAGGCACCAGCTAAATCGCCAGTGAAGCCCAAGGCGGTGACCAAACCGATCACATCCTTCTTCAGCAACGTGCCGCGGTCGCAGGCCTTCTCCCAGCCTACCTCGAGCCCCGAAAAGACTACTGATACACCGCCCGCGCCTATCGATGAGATCCTCGACTCCTCTGATGACGCTCGCCCACTGCCCCTGAAGCCGGCCGCCGCTCTGCCAGTTCGCAAGAGAGGAAACGATGCGACCACCGCTGACATTGACAATGCGGCGCTCAAGGCACGACAGAAGTTTCTGCGTACAGGGAGTGGCGCACGCAGCACGCCTCCGCCGTCCCTGCCAATCCGTCCAGAGTCAGAGGATCAGCGGCCTTGGACCGAGAAATACGGGCCAGTGTCGCTCGAAGAGCTGGCAGTGCACAAGAGAAAGGTCGCCGACGTGCGGTCGTGGCTCACAGATGTCTTCAATGGCAAGTCGCGCAAGAGGTTGCTTCTTTTAAAAGGCCCTGCTGGCAGTGCAAAGACGACGACCATGGCCCTCCTGAGTAAGGAGCTGGGAATCGCCATGCACGAATGGAAGAATCCCACAGGTTCCATGTCAACCTCTGAAAATTTCGCCTCCGCTACTGCACAGTTTGAAGACTTTGTCGGCAGGACTGGCACCTTTGGCAGTCTTACCTTCGATGGAGTGTCCCAGGGCAGCCAGCACAGTGTTTCTAGCAATTCGTCTAGCAGACAAAAGCAACTGGTGCTTGTAGAGGAGTTCCCAAATACATTTACACGCACATCTTCCGCTGTACAAGCCTTTCGGTCTTCCATCATCAACTATCTTACCGCGAACACCCAGTCCGCCACTACCTTCTTCAACGGCCAAGCTGATACTGAGCTCTCTGTGACTCCCATTGTCATGATTATTTCTGAGACTCTTCTCTCCACAAATACGGCGGCAGCTGACAGCTTCACTGCTCATCGGCTACTGGGTCCCGCAATCCTTACCCACCCTGGCGTGTCCGTCATTGAGTTCAATCCTATCGCACCCACGTATATGACAAAGGCATTGGACACGATTGTTGTCAAGGAAGCGCGGAGATCTGGTCGAAGAAATACCCTGGGCCCGCAAGCTATCCAACGTCTCGCAGAGCTCGGCGATATCAGAAGTGCGGTCTCATCACTACAGTTTTTGTGCGTACGTAGAGACGATGCCGAAGGCTGGGGCGCCAAGGTCAATTTTGCAAAGAAAAAAGGGTCAAAGGATCTGGTAATGACAAAGATGGAGCAAGAGTCTTTGGAACTTGTGACGCAAAGGGAAAGTACCTTGGGGATCTTCCACGCTGTTGGCAGAGTTGTGTATAACAAGAGATTGCCTGAGAGCACGGGGTCACCGATCGCGCAGCCACCAAATTGGTTCCCTGAGAGAAGAAGACCAAAAGCATCAGAAGTTAACGTTGACACTCTTATCGATGAGACAGGAACGGACACGCAAACATTTGTCGCTGCGCTCCACGAGAATTATGTACTGTCATGCGGAGGGGCGGATAGCGAAGAAACAATCGACTCCATTGAGGGCTGTATCGAGGCTCTATCTGATGCCGATCTTCTTTCGCCAGATCGTTTTGGCGCTGGCTCTGGCAGACGAAACCTGCAGGGGACAAGTGCCGACAACCTGCGTCAAGATGAGATGAGTTTCCAGACCAGTGTGCGTGGACTCTTATACAGTCTACCAACTCCAGTAAAGAGACTGGCACCGCCACCTGGCGTTATGGGCATCAAAGCGCACGGCCAGACCACCACATCTAGCGCCCCAAAAGGAAGCGCCTATGTCATGTACTATCCCGCATCATTGCGAATATGGAAGCAGCAGGAAGAAATTGGAGGATTGCTGGATATGTGGATTACGCGTGCGCAGCATGGGGATCTCCTGGCCGCGTCTCACGGCGCACCGAGAACCGCTAGTGCCACTGGTGGTGTGGATACGTGGAGGAAGAGTCCATCATTTGCCTCCACCGCATCGCAAACAGCCACTAAACCTTCCGATGATGAGCAACTGTCTTCCGTTCTACTCGGTAGCGGCGGCTCCGCCCGCTTCGAAATGTTACTCGAGCGTCTTCCCTACCTCCCCACCATTCTGCGCAAATCGCACATGCCGTCTCCATCCACCGCAGCTACCATCCGCGAGATCCAGAAGATCACTGCTTTTGGAAGGGGCGGTGTGAAAGGCAGCACCGATGACGACGACGATGCTCAAGATGAAGCCGTTGCTGGACATCTGGACGAGCAGGAGCTGTGGAGTACGGATCAGCCTGCGGCTGAGACGCCGAAGAGGAGAAAAGAGGTCAAGTTCCAGATTAGGGAGTCAGAGCGCGAGGCTGCGGTGCCGGGGATTACCGACTCGGCTACTGGGCTTGTGTTGAGCGATGATGATATCGAGGATTGAGTACGGGGATGGAGGGGGTGTGTGTATGCAGATTGTGTGTCGAAGAAGCAAAGAGATATGTATATGTTTATATGATCCAGATGACCTTTTTCGCGCTAGGCATTATAGTTGGAGTAGACCTCAAGTCTCGAAATTTTGGGTCAGTTTAATAAAATATAGAATGCGACTCCCATAAACAACCATCGTTGTCAGTTGCGAAAGCATGCCTTCAATCCTATTGGCCCCTTTTTTTCACCTCCGATCTTACAGAACGGAAATGATGGCAGTTTACATGGTTTGTGTTACGCGAGACGAAGATGGGTGTCGTGGGATGATATATGATAGTGGTGGTGTTGGACTGCGGTAAAAAAAAAATTGTGGATGTGTGAGTTACTTTTATTTTTCATAATCCAAAGCTTC